ACAAAAGAGATTGCTTTCCTATACATATATACATATATTCATACAAAATGTACATCACATATTGACTACACTTTAATCCTCATCATCATTATCTGTTGATTATTATTTATTGTTTATACTTTTAAATCAAACAACTGAAAAAAGTACTCAATTCAACACTTAATTCTTAATATCTGGGTTTTAATTATTTTTGCTGTTGTTATTATTATTATTATTATTATTATTATTATTATTAATAACTATTAGCATTAATAACAAATAATACAACATTAAAGAGGATTATACCTCGATATTGCTCTCCACTTATTGGTAATTATTATTTGTTATCATGTGGTTACTGTGAGATATATAATGTATAGAATAAGTGATGGTAAATACATAAACATAAGTATAAAATTTATTAAATTAAAATCAAAATCTATGAATTATATTATATGTACTTATTGTATAATATGCAATATATCGATCGTAAAGAAATTTTATTCGTCAATAATAAATATGATGATGATGATGATAAAACAAAAGAAAATGATTCGATAAAAAATATTTATGTGTACAGTTATCAGATACGGTTGATGGAACATACTGATTGCAGTAAAGAATTCTACAGAGGGTTGATGGACCGAAACATTCCCACAGACAACTCTCATCTGTAGTATCCAATATATTATTTTCTTTTGATTCTTCGTCATACCTTAACACTTCTCCAAACACTTTAATATACTCGTTGTTCTATACATATATATATTTATAGTGGAAAATGATCCGATCATATTCACACTTACGGATTTATAAGGATTCACACGTACCAGTTTTATAAAGAGCGGCATTATTTTAATACACAGAAAAAAGTAACTTCGTATGTGTACTTACAACTTATTCGCATCCGTGATGTAATAAATAATTGTTTAGGTTAATGCTGATTGTTAAATTGTACTTTGAGTATAAGTTACAAGTTTTAACTATACAGAAATGAAGAATTGCTTGCGCTAAGAAAATTTTTAAGTTATTTTGAAGCAAAAACAAATTTTTTTGGCTTATTAAATTTGATTATGTTAAAAAAATGTTTGGTATTTTCTTCAGCCGAAAAAATTTACCTTCAAAACAAGAATTTTTTCTTTCTGTGTAATACAAAAAATTAATACAAAAAATTGTTAACCCATAGTGGTCACACTTCTTAAAAATAACGTAGTGGTCATACTGGGTCCAGTTGACCCCATGCATGGAAAAAATTGTTGCTACTTGCGTTCTTTTCAATATTTTCACCCGAGCCGTACATAAGAGTAATTCTTAACACTTCCGTTGAATAACTTAATTGTTTTAAAATTTTTTTTTAATTGTTTAATTATAAAAAAAAAAATGCGCAAAAGTCAAATTTCGACTTTTTTTTACTAAAAACTTTATTTTTTAAGATAAATAAAAATGACCTCCAGGATTTTACTCCGGAGGATATTATCGCATACTTTGAAAAAAAAGTCGTGTCATTTCGAGCTTTTCAAAAAATATATTGATTTGTGCAATTGAAATCGTAAATTTCCATGAATCTCAAAAAATCTTCAAACAATAATAGATGGTACCACAGATACCATTTTGAATGATATCTTTGAAGCAAGAGCAACTCAAAAATTGTCTCGGGTCATCTAGACTCACAATGACCACTACAGGCTAAATATTTAATATAAAAATTTTTAACATAAAATTTTTTAACGCAATTTTTTAACGATAATGTTGAAATCGGATTGCGCTATTGAATTGATCCAAAATAAAAGGTTTAGTTCAGTATACTAGTATAATAAAAAACTTAATAACTAATCACATGATATAATTAGATGTACTTACGGTACACGTTATACTCATATAATTATCGAAGAGATGGTAATTAATACACTCGAACAGTGAAATTGGCAGGTAAAAATGCTCACGTTCAATAATAATCATTATTGTAAATTGAACTGTAATTATCAGGTGCATAAAATTGAGCAATTAAAGTGTATCATTTCTCTACACAGGATTCCATGAGCAATAAAATAACTCGTGCGTGTAATCCTCGTGCACGATGAGTAAGTTTACAGTGATTGATCAAAGAATTTTCTTACCGTAATTTTTATTATGCACTGTCATAACTTGTGAATTTAAATTTTATCGAAAATTTATAGCGTTATGATTGATCGATTTAAATAATAATAATGATTTATTTTAAATTGTTAGATTTTTTTCAAAGCATCTAGAAATATTTATTAAATTATTTTCTATGTCGAGGATCTCTTATATTTTTTACGTTTTTAATTATTGCAAATTTATGGGTGCTTGAAATTCAATTAAAGCGCGAAAATAAATGTAACATAAATGAGGATACAAGTATTCAAGAAGAAATATGTTCAATAATTTTTTTATTTTTATATACTCTAGAATTACTTCTCAGTTAACATCTCTTTTGACGTAAATGTGGGCATTTATGTTAACACACATAAACATATGTGTAATAACCACTTCAACGCTTCACTTTCGAAGTGTGCAACATATATTCACGTGGAAATTTCCAATGCTTATTTTTTTTTTTTCATAAATTTATTCATGAGTTCGAAGAATAATTTTATAGTATAATATGAAAATTTGTCAAAAAAACTGGAAAATAATTTGCAAAATTAGTATTTAAATAATATTTAATACTAAAATTATTCCATAAATATAAAAAGAAGAAATTTTTAAAATTCAATGCAAATTATTGAAATTGCTTTTATTTTCAGTATCCATCTAAGAAGCTTGGGAATAAAAGATAACCATTATTAGATAACAATTCCATAAATTTTTTAAATAAGTATTTCTGGTTATCCTGCTATAAAATATTTAAAATTGATCTATTTACTTTGAATTGTTATCTTTTTATTCTCAGTCTTGTTAAATAAAAAAAAATTGTGAATTACAAAAATTTCCATAACTGTGTTTTAACTATTTTTAAAAATAAATTCAAAACTTTAGAAATAAAAATCTAAGTTGAAGAAATTAATTTTTTTTAATTTACTATCGTCTACATTATTATAAGAGAATAAGCAAAATTTTGTGGCCAGTGTATTTATATGATAAAATGGGTTTTTATGATTAAATTTGGTATCGTTGAAAAATCTTGCCCTGGAGTTGTCATAGTTTCATATCATTCTCATCAATAATCAATTCATGATGATAAGTATTTAGGTTACATTCGAAAATGCTCTTTTTCTAGATATATAATTAAGAAACGACGTTGTATCTCGTAAACTATTAACATTTTTAAAGATATAAGCTCATCCCGTCATTACACTCATCGAGACCTTTCATTTGAGTACCCACATGCATTTTTATATATTTTTCATATATACATATATATAATATATATAAATATATGATGTGGGTACTCAAATGAAAGGTCTCGATGAGTGTAACATCGGGATGAGCTTATATCTTTAAAAACCTCAATACTTCACAAGATATTTGTTAAAATGACTTGTACTTTCTTAACTGTTGACGCTTTTAAAAATATATAAGCTCATCCCGATGTTACACTCATCAAGACCTTTCATTTGAGTACCCACATGCATATTTAATATATTTATATATATATATNNTTACACTCATCAAGACCTTTCATTTGAGTACCCACATGCATTTTTATATATTTTTCATATATACATATATATATAATATATATAAATATATATAAATATATAAAATATATGAAAAATTGATGTGGGTATTCAAATGAAAGGTCTCGATGAGTGTAACATCGGGATGAGCTTGTATCTTTAAAAACGTCAATAGTTAAAAAAGTACAGTGCAATTTAACCAAAGTCTTTATTTAATAAAGCAAAATTTTATTTATTTAAAGTTCACAACTCACGGCAGTCACATAGTGACTGCAAGGTTACTAGTAAATCTTAATAATTAAAATAAATAAAAAAAAATTATTAAATTTTATTTTATTAAAAATTTCATATATTTTTATTTAATACAAGAAAACATTATACAAACATGTTTGGTGTCGATGTAAAAATCAATACTGCCTAATTAACATTAAAATTAATTATAATAATAATAGTAATAATTAATAATAATAATAATTATTATAATAATAATAAATGTTCATTATTAAATATAAGGCAAGATGAAAATATTTACAATTAACTGTTAAACATTTAAAATGGCGTGGATTTAAAGAATTGTAATCTTGTTTTAATAATTAACAATTGATAGATTAAAAATATAAATAATAATACGCGTCCATGATATAATATTAATAATATAAAAAAATATATAAAAATACTTTTAAATCGATATTAAATTAATCCAATAGACGTCTTTAAAAATAAATTATCAATTGCGACTTATATTAATTAGTAATACTAAAATGATAAAGAAGAAATATTTAAAAATTAATTAAATCATTTACAATATATTTAAAATTTCCATAGATGGGTTCAATAATTAAATTAAAAAATTATAAATAAGAATCAATACCGACTTTATCTTCAACTCCTTTCACTTGAGATTTATCTTATAAAATATTTTCTTTTACGAAGCTTAGTAAATCTCCTACTGTCGGTGAAATAGATCGCGAGATTCACTCGTTGTTTCAATCTATGGTAACTCATCACTTGTAAAATATACACCGTTATTAATTAGAACACAATCATTCAAATCAGCTCAACATTAATATCAATAATAATAATAATAATAATAATAATAATAATAATAATAATAATAATAATAATAATAATAATAATAAATATAAATTCATCAAAATAAGTATAAAGTGTATACAACAAGTGTGAGACGACGAAATCAAATAAATAACGTCTTGTCTCGGATAAATTAATAAAATTTATCTTGATAAATTTAATAACTTTTAAACTATACAAATAGAATTATCAAATAATTACTTTTTACTTATATTAAATTACTTCATCATAATTTATACCTGAATTTTAATATTTAAAATAATATTAATTATATTGCAATTATTGACTTCACACAACATACATCGGCTCGTTATGATGCGTTGGTACGCAGTAACCGCTGAAGATTTTTAATTCGTATCCTGAATAAGAACTTGCAGGTATTGATCCAAGATCAGTGTGCTTTTTTGGGCAGCGGCTGCCCATCGAACACTGACACAATGGAGACGCAACAACTTCTTCTAATTGCGTACTGTGTCTTTTTCGGACTGTAAATAAGCGACAGGGTTCTTTTTCTTGGCAACGAATTCTCTGTAATATTTACAATAATGTTTTTTAATTTGAGTCGTTAATTTATCTTAATTAAGTTAATAATAAATAAATTATCACTTACGCTTTGAGGAGAACAGGCGAAGGAATAAATAAAATTAGGACTTCCATCAGAAGTTCTGTGCGGCTGTCTTTTGACAAGGTACGGAACACTGCCAGGTCGACAACGACAGTTGATTTTTTGGATTGTTGTATTTCTGGGACCACTGCCTGGTGCTAATGTCCACGTTACATCTCTGAAAAATTGAAAATTCTCATCAGTATTTTTTATAATTTAATAAAAGATTATTTTTTTTCAGTGATGATGAAAGATCATCATACTGAGTAAAAAATACTAATATTAAAATAAATTTTTTGATGCAATTATATATATTTTTTATAATTATTTAAAATATATTTTGCTGTCTGAAGAATTTGCTGAATTGATCAATGTAATTTTTATTCCATTCAAATTGAACTATTTGTCTATTTGCTAATTATGATAAAGTCAAATATTTTGATATTCTTCTTTAAAAATAGATATGAATAATACAATTTAAAATATTCTTGAGTCAAGAAATTATGTGTAAAAATTTTTGAAAATGTAATTTTGTGTGAAAAATTTTTTTTGTCGAAAGAAATGATCGAATTGATTAAAATAATCTGTATTATAAAGAGAATAAGAAAAATTTTGTGTCCAGGATATTCATATGATAAAATCGCTTTTTTTTTTTATGAAATTTAGTGTCATTGTGCAAAGGTCTCAATTTGAATATATGCCTTTTCAAGATTTCATTTCATTCTCACCGATAGTAAATTTATGATGATAAATATTTAGGCTTCATTCAAAAATGCTCTATTTCTAAATACATAATTAAAAAATGACCCTGTATTTTGTAAACTATTGACATTTTTAAAGATATAAGCTCATCCCGATGTTACACTCATCGAGACCTTTCATTTGAGTACCCACATCGATTTTTTCATATATTTATATATATTATATATATAATATATATATATAATGTATATATGAAAAAGTATATCAAAATGCATGTGGTACTCAAATGAAAGCTCTTGATGAGTGTAACATCAAGATGAGCTTATATCCTTAAAAATGTCAATAATTAAGAAATGTACAGTGCAAATTTTAATATAACTAAGAAATTATCTTTTATCTTGTGAAATATTGACATTTTTAAAAGTATAAGCTCATCCCGAGATTACACTAATCGAGCCCTTTCATTTGAATACCCACATCAATATTTCATATATTTATATATATTACATGTATGTATATATGAAAAATATATAAAAATGCATGTGGGTACTCAAATGAAAGCTCTTGATGAGTGTAACACCAAGATGAGCTTATATCTTTAAAAACATCAATAGTTAAGAAAGTACAGTGCAATTTAACAGAAATCATTATTTAATCGGATTTATATAATAAATTTAAAGACGTATGCATGAATAAATTATCACCTCTGAATACTAAAATGTATTCCCGTGGAAAAAAAGCGTCTTAAATTTAAATCCAATTTAAAATAATAGTTAATGTCCTATTGAAAATATCTACAACAAAATTATGCCCAATAAAGCCGAGTGTCGGAGAGAATAAAAGCAACAATAACATAAAAGTGTAAGCAAGGGAAGTAATTGGCGTACTTTAAAATCAGAATGAAAGGCTTTCATTAATTGATCTCTATTAATAGTAATGAAATAATCGGTACTTACTTAAAGTACCGACAAATAGGCAGTCTCTTAACAGGCTCGCAAAGCTTGTACTGTCTGGTTTTATCCACTATCGTGTGTCCATCAGTAGCATGAAGGCTTTTCGGACAACTATGTCCTTCCGGGCATCTACACTGTCTCTCGACCCAGGGGGTGCCGTAGAGGTCAACTTTGCTGCAGACTTCGTTCTTGGTACACTCTGGCAGCTCTTTTTCGCTGCTCTGCAAAAAAAAAAGCACTAAATTAGCATAAACTTCCTCTGTATAAACACATAAAAGATGAAATTTCCAAAACAAAATGAAGAATGAGAAATGTTGTATTACTCTACATCTAAGTGCTCGGAAATGGGAACGGAAGAGCAATACAGAGCCGGAATCGAGGATATTGATCCACAGTATCATCATCAGCATCAATAACCGTATGCGATAAATGTTTCTTTGCTCTACTACTAAAATTCTGTTGAGATCAGCTTTTAGAGAGGCAAATTAGTGTCCGCCGTTAGTGAAATAATGGGTGAATACGCTTCCTTCGAGAAATAGCGGAAGTCTGCTCGAGAATAAACCGGACGAGCCCACTCCCCACGTCACAAAAGCGACATCACCATCACAACCATCGCCACCACGTGCTTCCTCCTTTGCTTTGCTTTGCTCCAAGAGATTACGAATCAAATCAAAATATAGGCTTTTGCAAACCATGCCTACTCAACTCGGCAAACTTTTAATCCCGCGTTATCAAGCCATACGAGCTAAGCGAGCCTCCTTTTACTTCTACCTCGTCATCTCCAGCCATACCACTACACGTTGCTCATTCATTGTTGGTACATCTTGCCAGTATAGATATATATCTGCACCCATACCAAAAACACATACCTATAGACAACTCTTCAGCACTTATCCGTTCGAATGGCTTTTTACGTTTTTACCTGTGAAATCCCTTGGACCTTGACGGAAGCCAGTCAACAGTTTCCTCCTCAAGACGATCCCTCTTAAAGATAAGTATCTTTTTCTATTTTTATTTTTCTTTACTCTATTACTACCAACTACAACTATTTATCATCATTTTTCTACTATTATCATTTGTATTTTTTACTCATCCTCTTTTTTATGGTTTTTTTTTTTTTTTTATACGGAAGCTTTACAAAAAATATGGGTTAAAATTACTATTGAGATTTTAATTTAAAGATAATTATATCATTTTTAATATTAGACTTTACATAACAAAATATGTCAGCTTACATAAATTTAGATATTACTCAAGAAGACATAATAAAAATATCATGTTTAATTAAAAATTAATTATTATTAGTCTTGAAAAAAAAATTAACTTGATTCGAGAGAAAAATTCTTGAACTAAGAAAATAATTTTAAAGAGGGTAATTGTCTTGAATCAAGTGAAATTTCCCTAAATCAAGAAAAATTTATGAGTTAAAGAATTTTTCTGCTCAAATCAAGAAGATTAAGTTCTTCAAAATTACACAGAAAAGGTTCACTTGAGCCAAGAAAATATTTTTCTTCTTAATTATTTTCTTGAGCAAAATTTTTTTGACACAAAAAATTTCACTTATTCCAACAAAATTAATTCTCTTGCTTTAAGAAATACATATCTTGATCCAAGAAAATTTATTTGAGTCAAGAAAATCTTGTTCCAAAGTATCTTGCTCCAAAAAATTAAATATAAAGATAGAAGTAAATTTTCATTGATATTTTTATTGATTAACATTTCAAATGGGAAGATTAAATAATATTTCATCATTTTTTTTCATTCAATATGTATAATTGTACGCTAAAATAATATATAAAATGGGTATCAAATATTAGAGAAAAATTTTCTCAAGGTGAGAAAATTTTTTTCTCAGTTGAAGTAGTGGTACTGCTTCCCTAAAGTATCTAAAAATCTTGATCAAATATAAAAATTTATTGAATCAAGTATTTATGATAATTTGAATTAAAAAAAAATGACTTCCCCCAAGAATAGAATTTCAAGAAAAATTTTAACTTCGACCAACGCAACTTCGGTACCCGAAAATTTTCTTGAGCCAAGAATTTTGTTCTCCAGTCAAAAAATTTTTCTTTCTGTGTAGAATTAAATTTACCGCGTAAAATGAACTGGCCATTGTATTTTGCACTAAAATATTAAAATAGCCGCTCGAAAAAGAAAAAGACGGTCAGTATCAACAAAATTTAGTAATTTCATTTCGATATTCTCCATAAATAGTAAAAATATAAATAAATAAAAAATTTTCCCCGGTAGTTTTTGTTCTTTCGTATATTTTCTCAACTTTCTGTGTAGATTTAGTGATTACAAATTTTTCGTAGGTTTTTTCCTCCCGACATTGTTATTATTATAATTATTAAAGTTCCTTTTAGTCCTGGAAAAAGGGGAAGGTAAAAAAGTAAAGAAGGAAGAGGGCAGAGGGATAAGGGACACAGGAAGGAATTTATGAATTAACAAAAAGCTCCATACTAAGAGATTACGAGTTTTCTACTACGATACCGGAAATGGATAGTTTTTTTTAACTATTATTATTTCTTTTTACTCTCGGCTAGACGTTAGACGTACCTAATCCGAAAATCTCGTCTCGATACAAGTCGAACCTCAGGAGGCCTGATAATTTATTATTATTTCAGTAAAACGTTTTTTTTTTCTTTATATATTTTTTACCTAAAGCAGTAATTACGACTTTAACAAGAATTTTTCTCGGACTTACAAACGACTTCCGGTTTATTTACGTAGTTTATTTTATTTATTTATTTTCATTATAATTATGCTGAGCGTTTTTAGCTTTAACTATAAAAACCGATAAATTATGTAACAAAGATTTTTATTTAAATTTATTCTGGCATAATCCAGGCTCAATGACATTTGTACCGTCTTTAATATGTTACCATACAACCTTTAGCACTTACTGTAATTACGGTATAATAACAATAAGATAAATAAAGAGTGGGAGATAAGGAATCACAAGCACACCTAAAGACTTTCCAATAGCTTTCACTGCGGGCAATTGACGGTTTTTAAATAAAAATATTTAATAAATAAATAAAAATCTCGACATATATACATCTAACATAGTACATAGTACAGTATAGAGCTCCCAGTGTGCCGTACGCGTATACTTTCCATTGAGAAGGTACCATTAATCCTGTCAATGCACCCAGTCAATGAAGCAATTGCGTAGGCTCATGCTAATAATCTCACTCACCGATAAATACTTTTATTTTTCGTTACCTAAATTTTAATTCTAATTTTTAATCATTTCTCCATTCTCGGGAAGAAATTTTAGAGAAACTTTTTCATTTTTTTTTTAATTAGTATTTTTTTATTAAAAGAAGAAATTATATTTAAAAATATTTATTTTATTAAATTTTATTGGGTTTTTTTAAAGACGATAAATCATTGGAAGATGAATCATAAAAAATATTATAAGCATCTATTGATCATAATCTTTTATTTGATATCCAACGGATAATTTTTACATAAAAACTCGACATAAATTAATAAAAAAAAATTTTTTTTTAGAGTTCTCAATTGAGATAGGACAATTTTATTTCTAAGAGTTTTTAATGATATTGAGTAATATATTTTGAAGATTTAATTTTAAAAAATAATAATGACTCAGAAGAATTAAATTACGCGTAATAATTATTTTTTTAGTTTCATTAATTAAAATTGTTTTATTTGTGAATGAATAAAAATTATTATACAAATTTTTCACAAAAAAAATCAATATTTAGGTAGAAAACACCTTTTTTTTTTACTAAAAAAATATTTATGAAGACTAATAATCTTGAGTGAAACAAAATTTTTTGGTAATTATTTACAAGTGAGATTAAGCATTTTAATTTTAATTTTTTTGAACGAAATTTCTATTTAATATACTTTTTTTTTTTTTTTTGAGAAATACATTAAAAATGAACAATTTAAAAAAACAAAAAAAAACAAAGTTGATTATCACAATTTTATAAATTTTCAAAAAAATTTATAAATTTTTTAGAAAATTGTGATATTCAATTTTTTTTTTAATTGTTGTTTTTTTATGTACTTTTCAAAAAAATAGAAAATAGAAATTTTAATGAAAATGAAGTTAGCCGACATTCCAAAATTTTTAGAAATTTTTTATTAAAAAAATTTCAATTGAACAATTAAAAAAAAAATTTCACATGTAAAAAACTTGAAAAACTATAAGTGCAATTTTATAGAAATATCTTTTTAGTTGTAAATTAATTAATAAAAAAAATCAAAAATTTTTAGACGTCTGCTAACTTCAGTGTCATAAATTTTATCCAAAAACATGAGAGCCAAAATTTTTTCCAACTTTTGAAGGCAAAAAAGCTATCGAAATCTTTTTTTTTTCCTTTCACGATATTTTTTATCATAAAAGCGCCGCAAAAACAAGCAGAATAAAAAAAATTAAAAAAGGGTTAATTTCTCACCTAGATATGGCCAAAAATAGAGTAGAGACCCCACTTGTAAATAATTATCAATTTTTTTTAAGCAAAGAAATATTTATTGCTAAAAAAATTTTTTTTTCATATAAATAAAATAAAAAATAAACTGTTATTATATTATGATAATATATTTTTTGGAATATTTGTAAATATTCCAGTATTTTCTTCATCTCTTTTTGTTTTTTTATTTTATTACTACTCTTTTGTAAATGCTACCAGTACAGCGCACTTAATTTTAATTTATACTTTATAATCTGTATAAACTTACTTAGAGACCCTGTTATTGGCCTTTTGGCTATTAGGTTGTAGAAAAGAAAATAAATAAACTGTTGATTGGTAAAATTATTACCAAAAATAGCAATCTGATAAAGAAACAATAAACACAATAAAAAATAGAACTTTCGAAAAGGAAATAGATGTATCGATAAAAGGTGGGTTCGATAACGGATCTAAAAATGAAAATGTGAACCTCCTTGTAAGGTAGTAAGGTAGTAAGATCTGTAGAACTCGAGACAAACAAAGTAAAAATGGTAGCAAAGTCCCGAAGGTGACAATAAACTAAAATACAATAATAGACGACCGGAAAAAAATCCAAAGTGATCCGGAAGTTCTCACGCATCTCTCGCTTTTCTCACAACCGCATTACTGAATGAACCTGACACCTGGCACTCGTATATTCTATATACATACGATATACTATACATACAGGAACACCCAACATAAACAGAGTTGAATTCAGTAGCAGCACACCAGCGGTGTAACATAGCTCCTCTAAGCTCCAGTAGCCAAAGCAGTAGCAATCAAGTTCTAGATGACCGAGTACCCATGACTAAATTTAATCTCCTTAAAATTCTCCCCGAAAAAAGGATCCTCCAACAAAAAGATTTTTTTTTTCCCTTATGCCGATCGACAAAAAACGTAAAACAACATCCGCTTAGCCTTATATATTTAATATATAAAATATATTATACCTTTTTTTTGTTAACCGACAATTTAACCGTCTCACCGTCGCGCGATAATTATGAATTATTATTAAAGTTAAAATTGCGGATATAGAAAAAGCTGCAGGCGGGGAGACACTGTTATTCTCAGTACCGTTCAAGTACTTATACTTATAATACCTACAAGTTAAAGAGGAAATGACGGTTACACAGGAATCTCAAAGTCGATCAACTTATTGCTAAAGGCTAAATAAAAGCTGACGTTTAACTATACAATAAAATAAAAATATACCGGCTTGTTTTAATCAACAAAAACAAATAATATATAACTTATGATAAAACATTTATTATTCTTATTATTATATTTATTTTTTACTACTGTTACTAATTTTGTTTTATTTATCTTTTTTTTTTACTCTTTTGTAAAATAAACAATCACGATTTCTCGACGGTCACATTTTGCTTTCGTCTTTCGCGACAGGTTATTTAAGATTGTCGCGAGTGGGCGCCAGTCTTTGCCCAAGGCTACATCATTTTTACTTTCTTGCACATATAATCGCGACGCAACTACTTTATATCCTTTTTATTAGTTCGTTTTATAAAATTTACTCTTGATCGTTGGAAAAATTTTTATTCATTTTATTTGTAGTGCTTTAATTTAATTTTTTTTTTTTGTTCAAAATCGGTACTTTTGATTTTGTGGCTACTAATAAAAAAGTAATTAATGTTTTTTTTTTAATTAAACAAAATTTTTTTCCTTTATTTAGAATTTATTTAAAAAAATCAGCTACTATAAAGATTATTGCAATTTTTTTTCGCGATAAATTAAAAAATATTGAACTCAAAAATTTTTTTTTTAATCTTTAAAAACTCATATTTTAATTAAAACTTTTTTTACAACAATAGATTGCAATAAAAATTATTATTTTCTTAAAAATAAATATGTATTTTTAGTCTTATAATTAATAATAAATTTTTAAGTACAAAAACATGAAAAAACAAATACAAGTATGTATTTTTAGCAAAATTAAGAGATTTTTTTTTTTTTTTTTTTTTAATTGAAAATTAATTGAGACATTAAAAAAAATTTTTTTCAATGAAGTTATAAAATTTGAATAGTTAAAAATTAATTTAAAAAGTTAATTAAGAGATTTGTATTTTATTTATTTATTAAAAATTAATTGAGACATTAAAAAAATTTTTTTTCAATGAAGTTATAAAATTTTAATAGTTAACAATTAATTAAAAAAAGTTAAATTTTTGAGACAAAATTAAAATTAGCTCGAATTTTTAACAAAATTTCTTTCATTATAAATTTTTAAAGCTACCAATACTACAATCCACAATCAAAAAACTCTGATTTTTGATTCCAACCCTGATAATAAAATGACAAAATTATTATCTATTGATTACCAATGATAATTTAAAAATAGTAGGCGGAAAATAAGTGTCTTTTAACAGCTGAATAAAGCGGTTTAAAGACTAAAAAAGGCGCGTGTGCATGCTGAGTATACCACTCGTTCGCTAGTCAACTCAGCCGGAAATTGGTCAACAGCATACTTGGCGATCATGCATCGCCTGCATTTTTTTACAACCTGCTTATCGCTCCATATCTGATCATAAATTATCAGACAATGATAACATTAAAATTACAATTGAACCTTAAAAAAATCACCAACCAAGATATCAAAACATAATTCTTACCCCAATCTGATAGAGCACCCTCGGCTTCTGGTGCGCGTGATGCGTGTGCCGATGTTTCTTGTTTTTAATATCGACCAAGTCGATCTCGATCGCGGCGTTCCGGAACTCCTTGAGCTCCATCAGGAACCTGATGTCATCTATCGACAGGTACTCGCCCAAGTATTCTTCGCTTTCTTCATCTAGCTTCAGAACACTGCTCCGGATTGTCGTCAACAATCCCAATAAAAACGCCACTTTCAGTGTAGTCTTCATTTTTAATTATTTAACCAAAATAAATAGAGTAACAATTAAATTTTAATTTACAATAAAATATATAATATATCAATGTCAATAAAAAAAATTCACAAAATTGTCAGTGTCCACATCACAATTTAATATAAAATTTTTCACATCACTAGTCCGTTTAAAATTTCATATTTTTTTTATTAACACAAAAAATCCAATAAAAATTTTATAAAATAAATAAGAAGCGCGTTTTAGCTTTAAATTTTTAACAATCACTTAAATTCAAAGTGAAGAAATTAAAATTTTAACACTTTAAATTTAAATTTTAGCAACAAAATTTAATTGAAAAAAAAAAAAACAAAAAAAAAAACAAAAAATTCTAATTAATTTTATTTATCAAATAGCAATAGTTATTAGTTGTTGTTGAGTAAGAACGTACAGGTAGTAGGTGAACAGAACTGAGTGGAGTGCCGGGCTTCGAATGGCGCCCACGGGATACACCAAGGTATGCTGCGGTGAACTGGAGTCGTAGACTAGAGGCAAAGCATGAATGGGTGCCCCCACTTAGTTTTATGTTTCTCTCAGCGACTATGTCCCTCAATACGACTGAAACTCAAAGTTTAGTATAAGTATGAGTATAAGTGAGCTACCACCACCATCACCAATACTACCACCAGCACATTGGCTTACCTCTACTCCGGAGTACCACCTCACCTCATCCTCCTGCATCCTCGTCTTAGCCTTAGTCTTATATCTTCTGTAACCGTACGATCTTGATCACGATCACGATCACAATCCCGATCGGATCCCCTTTGCCTCCTGCTCTCAATCTCGTATCGCCCTTCTCCTTATAAAACTTATTATTTTATTTTATTTCATTTTTATTTTTATCCTTTACTGGAGACCAAACCACCAGAGCAAGACCGAGCTAGCTCGACCAGGAATAAATACAAGTGTTTACTCCTCCCACCTTAATATGTGATATATAACATGTATTTATGTTTTATATATATATATATAAGGATGCTGTACTTCACCTGCACAACGTTAATTTATTTCAGATAAAACACTTTTTACTGATTATAGTTATAGTTATGGTTATCATTACAATTACAATTACCTGTTGATGCTTCGATGGGTAAAAGAGTAAGTGAAGAATACCCCATTAGCTCGTCATCTGAGAAGGTTAGCGCTCAAGTTCATTTTTATGGAATAAAAATAATAATATTTCATTTTTTTAAATTGATACTTTAGTTTGGGAGCCAGTTTTTGGTTTTAAATTAATTATTTATAATTTTAAAAGTTATTTTTATAAAATTTATGGGAAGAATATTATTTTTCTGTTATTTTATTAATTTAATTTTACAAAATTTGTTTTATTAAAAAATGATTTTGGATTTTAAATTAATCACTAATATTTTTAAAAATTATTTTAATAAAATTTATGAGAAGAATATTATTTTATTGATTTAATTTTAAAAATTTGTTTTACTAAAAAAAAATTTTAAATTGTAAATTAATCATTAATATTTAAAAAAATTATTTTTATAAAATTTATTTTATTAAAAAATAATTTTAAATTAATTATTAATATTTTAAAAAATTATTTTAATAAAATTTATGGGAAGAATATTATTCTTCAGAATTATTTCATTCATTTAATTGTAAGAATTTGTTTTACTAAAAAAATAATACTTGAAACTGGTAGTTATTAAACTTACCATTAGTCATACAAAATACCTGGAATAATTATTTAAAATTTTTCCAAGATGATAGATCGGACCTTAACCCGTTACTTCTCTTTCACTTCAACTTTAATTATACTTCAATGCCGCATTTAAGTAATTTAATACTCCGTAAATAAATGCCTTCATAAAAATATCTCATAGCATAGATTTATACTTCTGTTTATTAATCAGGCGGCTTGATTTTTCTGAATTAAATCTACAACAAAAATTTACAATTTTTCTAAATTTTATTACTTCAATATTTATTAATTGCTCTTAATTTTAGTTTGCTAAAAATTTTTTAATTGTACAAAATTTTATTAAAAATTGCTAAAAAATATAAAAATTAAGTTAGTCGACATCTTAAAATTTTTAGTATTTTTTTTTTTTACTGAAAAAATTATAAAAAAAACTTGAAAAACTGAAAGTGAAATTTTTAAAAAATAGTTTTTTGTTCTAATTTAACTATTAAAAAAAAATTAAAAAAATTAAAAACGTCGACTAACTTGAGTATTATGTCAAAAATTATGAAAAATAATTAAAACAAAAATTTTCAAATATAGAAAATTTTAAAAATTATCCGTAAAATTTTTTAGTTCTAATTTTTAATTAATAAAAATAAAAAATTTTTGAGAGTCGGCAAACTTAATTTTCATCGAAAAATCTTAAAATTTTTAAAATAAAAACTAAAAAAAAATGATTCAATTTACATGGCAATTACCAGAAAATAAAGCAAAGCTCTAATTTAAAACCACGACTTCATTCATGAAAATTGAAGTCCATTCACGTTTACCCCCACCTTAACAAATACTCTGTCCTTGTTAAGCAGCCTCTACTGGTTGGTGGCTCTTACCTCTTTACTCACCTTACTTCTTGCCCCTCAGCATGAGCCTGAGCACACCTCAGCTTCTTATCTCTTGACTTCTTTCCTCTTAACCGCTACAGCTAAGGCTGTTGTCGTCTTACCACTATAATGTTTTTTTTTTTCTTTTATTACAATTTTTTTATTTTTTCCTTATACTTATAAACAACCACTTGGCATCACTACAGCATGAGGCTCGAGGAACAAGCTACAGGCTCTACTGGTTCACCTTACTCGTATAATAATTGTACTGGTGAGGTGAACAGCAACACATAAATATATAAATAATCCTCGTGTAAATGTACTGGACAGTCAGTGTCTCAATGGACTCAAAACACTATCTATTATGTAAATATATGTAACTTGCCGATGTGTAATATATATTTACTCAGATAATTATCAGTACGAGTAATACGTAAATACCTGGGTAATTATTGTAAAAAAAAATAACAATAATAATAATAAGAATTTAATGATTAATAAATAAGTAAAGTATGTAAGATGAAAAAATAAAATAGAGAAAAAAAATAAAGAAGAAATGAATGAACGAGTAGTGAATGAATAGAAATAAGATGAATGAATAAATAAATAAATATAATGAATGAAGAGAGCTTCGAGAAGCTGGAAAGGGAGAAGGGGAGCGCGATAGGGGCAAGGGGCAGGTGGACGCAGGTGTTTCAATAACGCCCGACCGGAAGCTCGAGAAACTGCGTTCGGACCAGGCCAAACACGGAAACGAGACCCATTAATATCCTTATAAGTAATCTTCTTTGATCCAGTACAGTAGCGACTTAACTCAGCCGTTTTTTTTTTTTTTCTTATTTTATTGTTATTCTTTTAAATCCTCCGATACTTAAAAATACATTTGACTTAAAACGGGTTTTTCTTCTTATATTACTTCCAGTCGGTCTTTTTTATTTTATTCTTTTTATGATAAGTTTTAGCTTAATATATGGAGAAGAAATAGAAGGAAGAAAGGAAAAATTATTTTCACTGGCTAACAGTATTATATTCATTCATTATTATTTACTTGAGCTTTTTTATGATTGCAGGTAAATTGTACGCGGTATTTGGCCGTAGACATGGCCGTGTAATTGCAGCGGATAATGCCCTCGGTTTTGGAGGGCAATTTCAGGTGGAAGCTATACTCCCCGTTCCAGAAAGTTTTCATTTAGCCAGAGAATTACGCACGCAGACCTCCGGATTAGCTACTCCTCAACTTGTTTTCAGCCATTGGGAGGTAAGTTTGGCAATTTTAAGTTTTGTTATAAATTTTTATTAATAATTACTGGTTAAAAATACTAATTGAAAAGCGGTCACTTCATGCAAACTGTATATCTATATTAGGGTGGCTCAAAAAAACCGACTATTTCTTTTTTTTGAGTCTCAAGTGGAAAAATGTTAGTTTTTGATGTTTTAAGGCGATATGACCACAGCAGTTAATACCTACTCTAAATAATACTTCATTAAAGAAAAAAAAAAAAAATTATGAGCGACCTTTCAAAATTTTAATTTTGAACTGAAACTTTCAGAAATTTATTTTTTTTTGGTCTATAAAATTATACCGTAAAAAAATTAAAAAAAAAAAATAGTCGGGTTTTTGGGCTACCCTAATCTATATATACAAACAAAAGAATTGGAATTATTATGAAGAATTCGAATTTCATCATTTTTAATTCTTTTCAAACAATATTTTTAAACAGGGATAATAATTAATTATTACGAGTAAAAAAACCAAGCTATTTAAGAGAATTATTCGTAGAAGATGTATTTTGACGTTCCCAAAGACTTGCTAATAAAACAAATAATGTAAACTTTATAATGCCACCTTTTACTTCGTCCTACTATGAAAATTCATTTGGTATAACTATCATACATCTTTGGCAAAATCTGCCATTAAATATTATAAATTAATGTAGCCTAAAAGTTTTCAAATTAACTTTATTTGATTATTTGTTGAAATCCGATTTTAATTAACTTTTACGATAATGAGTCTCACTTATTTTACTTATATTAAACACATCAAAATTGCTATGATTAATTCACAAGCAGGCATTTATGCATACAAATAACTTTCCTTATATATAAGTTTCTTAGTTAAATCTATTATAATTTGATTATAATTTCATCATTATAAATTTTCAAGAAATCTATCTAACTATTATTATTGTTATTGTCAAATAAAGAGACTGTACTCGCAGCACATTGCTATATTATCACTAAGTATCTATTATACTTTATATAATCATTGTATTATTAAAGCTTGCCATATGACAATTAACCTTGGCATAATAAATAAATAAATAAATAAATAAATAAATAATAATTTCAGGTGATTGAGCAAGATCCATTCTGGGTACCATCGACGGAAGAAGAATATTTACATTTCGGGGAAAAAGGCGACAGCGTAAACCGCGCTAAAAAATATATCGACGCGGTGAGACATCGTAAAGGACTACCTGTTGATTCACAACTTGTTACACACGCTGAGAAACAGAGAACGTTGTCTAAAAAAAAATAAATTCATATAATACATGCATCCTTACTTCCTACATAAGCAAACATTATTTTAGGTGTCTTAAAAAAAAAATAAAAAATTTATTTAACATTCTTTAAATTAATTTTATAATCAATCAAGTTAAATGAATACATACGAAATAAATATTACAACAACAATTAATCATCATCATTAAATACTATTTTCTTTCCTTGGAACCCTTGTTTCAGAGCATCCTGTTGTTTTTTCCTGGCTGCCCATGACGGATGCAACTCTGCGATATTTTCATTTTTATCTTCTTTAAAACTATTTCTTTCTTTCTTAAAATCGTTTGATTTATTACCGTACCTCGATTCATTAATCTTTCCTTTATTAAATTTATTATCACCAAACTTACTTTTATCATTATTGAATTTGTTTCTGTCCCTGCCAAATTTACTGTCCTTACCAAATTTATTATCCCTATTAAATTTATTTCCACTATTATTATTAAATTTATCATTTCTTCTTTCTCTACCAAAATCATTACGATTATTTCTTCTTTCCTTTCCAAAATCATTGCGTTCATTCCTACCCATTTTTCCCCTGTCACCTGCTTGTCCTTTTTTATCTTCATTATTTTCAACAGGAATATCTAAATACACTGGATCATTATCGTCCGATATGAAGAACGGATCAACTATACGTTTACGCTTAACTTTATTTGCGTCTTTACGTCTCTTATCTTCAATGTCATCGCGATCATTATTATTATCTTTACCATCATCGGTTTTCTCAAGAGTCATCTTTTTCTTATTAATTTTATTCGATTTTGTAATAGATTTCTTAAGAGAACTATCATGTTTATCTTGATTTTTATTCGTGTCATCTTGATCATCATCAGCATCTTCATTATTTTCTTGGTCTGTATCATCTTCACTGTCATCCTTAGATTCAACTTTTATTTTTTTAACCTTAGAACCTTTAACTCCTTTGTCCTCAGCGGAGCGTTTTTTATTTTTATTTTTTCCAGCTTCAGATGCTTCATTTTCATCATCATCATCATCTTTTATCGAAAATTTAAAAGCTACTTTTTACTAATAATAAAAAGTGGTTTCACTGATTCAAGTATTTACTACACAAGAGTAGAGACAATGTTTTAAAAAAGTTTTTAAGTAATTGGCTGCATTCCAACAGGAAAACGAAATGAAAGTGATAAGACTAAAAGTAAGAGACCGGGATGAATAATAATAATAATAATGAGAAAAGACTATAACTGAAGACTGGTGATTATAAGACAGCCAGGAGACAAATATAACAGACATAGAAAAGAAAAACAGTTTAAATTCTCGCGTTTGAACTCTCTCGGAATAAATTGCTCAGCGACAAGCTAAAACGACGATGAGAACTCGACCTCGATGTTGCCACCACTACCTCATACTTAATTCTTAAATCATTTATTCGCCAGACAGATTATATTTAGGTTACTCGATTTTATCAATTATTTAACCGCAAATTCATAACTTTTAATAGATGAACTGTATTAGATACTTTCGACCAGACAGATAGATTTAGTCGTTGATTTATACGCAGAAAAAAAAGTTCACTTGAGCTAAGAAAATATTTTTTTTCCTAATTATTTTCTTGAGCGGAAAAAAATTTTTTTTGACACAAGAAATTTCACTTATTCCAACAAAATTAATTCTATTTCTTTTTAAGAAATAGAATTAATCTTGTTTTGAGAAAATTCAGCCTCTTGCTCCAAAAAATTTAGTTCTTGATGGAAGTAAATTTTCTTGTCTTGAGAAAATTTCTCTCTTGCTCCAAAAAATTAAATATAAAGATAGAAGTAAATTTTCATTAATATTTTTATTGATTAATATGTCAAATGGGAAGATCAAATAATATTTGATCATTTTTTTTCATTAAATATGTATAATTGGAAATAATATAAAATGGGTATTAAATATTCAAAAGAAAAATTTTCTCAGGGTGAGAAAATTTTTTTCTCAGCTGAAGTATGTGGCGCTGCTTCCTTAAAGTATCTAAAAATTTTGGTCAAATATAAAAATTTATTGTATCAAATATTTATGATAATTTGTATTAAGAAAAAATTACTTCCACCAAGAATAGAATTTCAAGAAAAATTTTTACTTCGGTCTTCCTTCAGACATCCGAAAATTTTCTTGAGCCAAGAATTTTGTTCTCCAGTCAAGAAATTTTTCTTTCTGTGTATTATTTACGGTCACGGTGGCTTGTTTATATTATTATTCATTATTGTTGGTAATATTAAATATACTGTAAAATCCGGGAAAATTTCTTTAAAAAAATTATTACACAAATTTTAATATTTCATAAATAAAATTAGTGGTCACTATTTAATGATACCGATTAATTGGTAAAAAAATAAAATATAATAAATGGGTTGACAGCGATGAATGTTAATAAATAAAAGAATGACAGTTGGCATGTATTAAACTGGTAATTTATTAGGTGATAGTTATGTTAAGAAAGAGATAATTATGATATATTATACAAAAGCTGCTTCGACCGAAAAATATGGTTCCCACCTGAAGACCCTATCGCCTGCAAACGAAACTACAATCACAATGGAGTATGCTGCAATAAAGATTACTGCAACCTGAATTTATATCCGGTTTTAGAGTCTTCCGACGTATCGCCCGAATTACCTAAAGGTATATTGATAACCACGGGACATATGTGTATTACGCCACGATTGTGTGTGTGCGGTATTTCGAGATAATAATACAATAATAACGTTTTCACCCTTTTACATCAACCATTTTTACTTAATATTATTTTTGATTTTTAATTGTTTTTAGTTTTTTTTTATATTTATTAAAACACCGTGTGTCGAACAACGATTTAACTAACAATCCCAAAATTTAACAGCATTCTATTTTATTTTATTTGAGTTTACGTTTTACTTTACCGAGGCCCCATTGTTTTTTAGCTGCCAAGAAACTCAAGGATGTTTTTAAGCGATTAAAATTTTTAGCATGTTAATTTGCTACTTTGTTATGATAATTATTTTTACTTAAAAGTAGATAATACTTGTCTAATAAAAAGAAAAGGCTTAAACTCCTGGAGATTCTTAAGCAGCTACTGACAATCAATCATTCAAGATTTTTTTTGCCTTATCAATATTCTTTGTGAGTTTCTTATGCATTTAACACATAAAAATAAATCGCATCTGTCTAACAAAGATCTTGGATTTAATATTATTCTATTTTTTACATAGTTTTTTTTTTTTTTTTGTTATTCAATTTATTCTGAAGGCATACGCTTTTAAGTGAATTTAAATATATATTATCGGCAATGTAAGTTATTATGAAGATGGTTAATACGACAAGGTATTTTCAAATTCAGGAAGTATTATCGAATTTTAGGGAGATTTATTTTAATAGCTTTTAAAATTTATTTTTTTTTTTTACACACCTCAAACTTTTTAGATTAATTGGTTATTTTATTAAAATATTTTTGATTAATAAAAGTAATTTTTTTTTTTAAGATTTTTTAAAATTGAATTTTAATATTGTCGGCAAGTATCTCAATTTAGAGATTACAAAATAATCAGAATAAAATTACAAGACTTGAAATAAATTAAAAAAAAAACAACATTTTTACAGTTAGCTTCAACAATTTAAATTCTTTGCCAAGTCACGCAATGAAGACAAAGCACTTTACACATAATTTAAAAACAAAACCATTATTCTCAACACAAAGATTTGAGGTGTGGACGATTGGCCTCCAAAAAAATAAAAAAAATATTTATAAACAACATCTTAAACTAAAAGAAAAAATAGATTTGCTGTGAAAATATCATATGAAAATATGGGCTTAAAGGTGCGTGAAAAAACAGCTGTCGTCATCACAACCCGAACCGCTGATCTTCTGCATGACGAGCAATTCGATAAATACGACCTTTGTCATCGAGTGCTGCAAAGAGGATTTTTGCAATCGGGATCTTAAACCCGCGCTGCACCCTACCACGAGAGAAGGTACAGTTTCATCCTCTCTGGAGCTACAGCCACAATATTTATTCTTGTTAACTATTTATTATTATTATTTGAATAACAAAAACATCTATATATCTATATTAATAAACAAACAAAGTATTTAATGCAGCAATAGCACTGTTAAAATTATAAAGCCGGTGGTGTAGAATTATTCGACGCACTCTCTTGTGCCCTCACTCTTCACTTGCCTTTATTTCTATTATTTATTATTTTTCTTCTGTCTATATCACTGCGCAATTATTTTATTTATTTAAATCTGCACATTACTTCCTAATTATTAATTTATTATTTATTTATACATGTACCATAAATTATATATTTGCTTTGAGATTAATGTATTATATATTAATCACTCTCGCTTCTTACTTTTGGTTATAAATCAATTTTTTTTTTTATTTTAATTTATTATTTTATTTTTCTATCTTAATTATTGTGTACTTATAAATATATTTTTTTTCTCTTCATTTTAGAATATGTCTACTGATGTAATCATGCAAACAAAAAATCTATTAATAGCTTGCGTCGATGCACGTTTAGATAAATGAATACAAGTCAGAAATATGTGTATTATATATTTATTGTAAACGTTATATTCGTTAGATTATTAATTAATTAATTGCCTGTGGTGAAAATTTTATTTATTTTGTCATACAGGATGCTTAAATTGTTCTGTAATATTTTAGATGCGTTTGCCTATTTTTTGGCATAAAAGAATGATGTGTTTTTTTGTAATTCTTTTGGGTGAGTTAATGAAAAAAAAAAAAAAAAAAAAATTCACCGTGAAGAATATCAAAACTTCTTTATACATCTAAAAAATGATCAAATGTTGCACAATTTTTTAAAAATTTTAATGAAATTTTTTTTTTGTTAAAAAATTTTTTTTTAATGTATTTTTTCGATAATTCGGTTTTACAAACTATTGGATCTACGACCCGTAATAAAAATTGTTAGGACAATAATTGATTGAGGGTGAAAATTTTTATATGGGTAAAAAATTTCCAGGATGAGATTTTGGATAAATAAAAAAGATTTTTAAAATTTTTGGACCGAGTGGTTGTTAAATTTTTTTGTAATTATTGTGGTGAGTTAATGAAAGAAAAAAAAAAGTTGACTATGAAAAATATCAAAACTTCTTTATACATCTAAAAAATGATCAAAAATTGCATAATTTTTTTAAAATTTTATTAAAATTTTTTTTTTATTTAAAACATTTTTTTTTTTAATGTATCTTTTCAATAACTCGGTTTTAAAAACTGTCGGATCTACCCGTGATAAAAATTCTTAGGAAAATAATTGATTAAAAGTGAAAATTTTTATATAGATAAAAAATTTCCAGGATGAGATTTTGGATAAATAAAAAGGATTTTTTAAATTTTTGGACCAAGGTTAGAAATTTCGGCAATAAATATTCAGGAGAGAAATATACTGTTCTCAGGTGTTACGATAAGACGCGGTTCTTCCCAGCTCCCGAATACTCAGTGTGGTGTAGCAACAATGAGACTCTTCGAGGTCCTGGAACCGAGCAATTTGTAATCGCATGTTGCGACAATAATGACTTCTGCAATCGCGAGCTGCAGCCGTCGTTTTCTTCATACATTACGGGAAACTCTCGTGGTATATACAGATTTGAAAGAGGTACTACATCCACTTATGAAAAGGAAAACAATCATCACTCGATGACTCTTCACTCCACTCCACTTGTTGCTTTTGTCACTCGTTGAAGCTTTGTACAGTTACAATTACAATTACATCAAAAAACCACGAGCGTTTTTATAAATCTGTACTATTACTATTACTAGTACTTTTTTCCATTTTTTATACCTCGAGTCATGCCACATTTGTTCAAGTAGATAGAAATAAAAGACACATTTAGTATTATGTTAGTGCTATGCTGACTGTAGAGGAATAACTATTTTATTTTTTTATTTATTTAATCAAGTACTTGCCAGTTTATTACATAGATTGAGCCAACCTTTTACATTGTCAATGTACATCACTATTTCACTTATATTACATGTATATTACTCAATATAAAATGACAAACTCCAATCTTCAATCATAAACTATTTACCCCACACGCGCCGGAAATTACTCAATTTTGCTCAAGTGACAAGCGCAATCTTGAGATTATTAACCAGTCGACGTATTAAATCAAAATCTCAATTACATTATTTTGTTATAAGTTAATTACACTATAAATAGACTTTTTTTTTTTATTAAAAAATTTTAAATGCTCCATAATTTTTTTTTTTAATTGTCTTATCTAAAAAAAAAACGTATAAAATTATTCAATTGATTTGCAAATAAGTAAAAATTTTTCTATTTACCTGGTAGCTTTTTTTTCACTAATAAAATAAAATTACTATTCATTATAAATTATTCCTCAATGTCAGCAAGGTATGCTAATAAAAACTCGTTAAAAATCATCCAGCAATATTTGCCTGCCTTCATCGTCAATCGTCTATATATGGGTTGTTTTTAAAATCTCACTCATGAGGGTCGTGGAACAAACCGCATGATACGAGGATTGAATTTAAATACAAATCTCGGCTACTCATTCATTTAATTCGATTGGAAATTCATTGGACCGCATGATATGAAATAGATTGTTCGTTTCATCCAACCAACAAATGTAAACCCAATTAAAATTCACAAAAATTAAATACTGAAAATCGGATTTCATTTTCGCAGCACACACCAGATCAATATATATTCATATAAATATTATATGTTTGTGTTGTCATATTTTTATACATAAATCCACAAATCCACGTTATAGTACGTCTGTCACGTTCTCAATCAATGCTTTGGTTTATTCGAATCATCTGGGCCTTCGTTCCTTCTAATCGTTATCGTTATTGTTCACCAATTTAAATTATAATTATAATTGAATAAATTGACATTAAAACTTACTAAACACCAGATCAAAAACAATATCGACTCTCATGATAAACGTTTTTTTATGATAACGCATGGAAAATTATTTTATTTTATTTATTATACTATCTCATATATATTTTTTTATTATTACTAAGCAACCTTGCAGTCACTACGTGACTGCCGTGACTTGTTAACTATAAAAAATTAAAATTTTATTTTATTAAATAATGAATTTTGTTAAATTGCACTGTACTTTCTTAATTATTGATGTTTTTAAAGATGTAAGCTCATCCCGATGTTACACTCATCAAGAGCTTTCATTTGAGTACCCACATGCATTTTTATATATTTTTCATACATACATATATATAAATATATAAAACATATGAAAAATTGATGTGGGTACTCAAATGAAAGGTCTCGATGAGTGTAACGTTAGAATGAGCTTATATCTTTAAAAATATCAATAGTTAAGAAAGTACAGTGCAATTTAACGTAATTAAGAAATGACCTTTTATCTTGTGAAATATTGACATTTTTAAAGATATAAGCTCAGCCCGATAATACACTCATCGAGAGCTTTCATTTGAGTACCCACATGCATTTTTATATATTTTTCATATATTCATATTATACATATACATATTTATATATATAAATATATAAAATATATGAAAAATTGATGTGGGTATTCAAATGAAAGGTCTTGGTGAGTGTAACATCAGGAGTTGTAATTGAGATTGTAAGGAATCGTTGTGAGGAGGTACTAATTAATAAAAATATATTTTTTTCAGGAGAAGAAACTTGCATCAGAATTGGTGAGGTTAAGTACGCCTGCTCGAATGAGAACTGCGACCGCGTGTTCTCGAACAATGAAGCTAGGTACATTCATACTAAGTACCACTGCGGTAAACCGCCCAGGTTCAAGTGCTCCCAGTGCAACTACAAGTCTGTCAAGAAGCAGAATATTCTGACTCATGCCAAGCGCCTGCATCTTGATGATGACGCGAGGGTTATTGAGCTCTACAACGCTTCTACTTCAGGTGAGGCTTCCTTTCAGGCGGCGGAAGTGGTTCTACTTTTTTCAGGATGGTGCTGAATATTGATTTTTTTTTTTTTTAATATTTATTATTTTATTTTTTAGGGCTTTTAGAAGAAATTTTAGAAACTTTTGGTGCAGAATTTAAGATTAATTTAACAAATTTTTTATGATTAAGTATAAAAATTTCAAAATATTTTGAATAATAATTTAAAACAATTAAAAAATAATTGTTTTATAATTTATAAAGATTTATTTGATCATTTTTTTAATCAAATTAATTTTTATCAGTGAAGAAAAGAAGGAATTTAAAAATTTTTATTAATAAAAAAATTCTTTCCACTAATTGAATCAAACAACCATTGCAGTCACTACGTGACTGCCGTGAGTTGTGAACTGTAAATAAATAAAATTTTGGTTTATGAAATAATGACTTATAAATTGCACTTTACTTTCTTAAATATTGATATTTTTAAAGATATAAGCTCATCTTGATGTTAAAATTATCAAGAGCTTCCATTTGAGTACCCACATGCATTTTTGATATATTTTTCATATATACACATATATAATATATATAAATATATGAAAAATTGATGTGGGTACTCAAATGAAAGGTCTCGATGAGTGTAACATCATGATGAGCTTATATCTTTAAAATTTTCAATAGTTCACAAGATACAATGTCAATTCTTAATTATGTATCTAGAAATAGAACATTTTCAAATGCAGCCTAAATACTTATCATCATAAATTTACTATCAGTAAGTAAAGAAATAAAATGAAACCTTGAAAAGGCACAAATTCAAGTCAAGACCTTCGCAATGACACGAAATTTCATTAAAACAACCGATTTTATCATATGACTATCCTGGACACAAATTTTTTTTTATTCTTTTAATAATATAGATTATTAGTATTATTAATTGCACCACAGGCGGAAAGCATCCACTTTTCAAACATGGCTATGACTACCAAGTATTATTTATAAATATTTAACTTAAGTAATTAAAATTCGTCATATAAATAACAGGTAAGCAATGAAAAATTCCCGTAGGAAAAAGTCATTGTTTAAATGTTTTTGCATGTTGGTTTAACGCTTTGCACATCTGTTACTTTTTATTTATATGTTTATAATGCAAATGCTTCATATTACGCATTGCTTTTGCTATTTTTAATAAAATTACTTATTAAAACATTAATTAATAACTCATAAAAAACAAATTTTTTTAAAAGATTAATTGTATAAAAAAAAAAACATAAACTAATTGCTGCTTTTTCAAATTAAAGTGACTGCTGCGGGCGATGGAGTCGCGGCTTGGGCCACCTGGAAAATGGCACTGACGATAGCGTTGCCGATTTGTGCGATCTGTGTGGTCGTTATGGTGGTCTATCACATTCACATGAGTCGACAGCGACCGGCAAGACACTTTCCTGATGATTCTATGGAAGCGCCGGAGAGACCGATCCTAGGAGGTGTTACTATCCGGGACATGCTGGAGATGACGACCAGCGGTAGTGGTTCAGGTAATTTGTGTTTTTTATTATTAATTACGATTTTTAGTGAGCTGGTTAACTGACTGATTGCTTCTTTGTTATTTAAGTAGGTTTGCCGTTACTAGTGCAGCGGAGTATCGCTCGACAAATTCAGTTAGTCGAGACGATCGGCAAGGGCAGATTTGGAGAAGTCTGGCGAGGAAGATGGCGTGGGGAAAATGTTGCAGTTAAGATATTTAGCTCACGAGAAGAAAGATCTTGGTTTAGAGAGGCTGAGATTTATCAGACTGTCATGCTCAGGCATGATAATATTCTGGGGTTCATTGCTGCTGATAATAAAGGTTTGGAAATTTTTTTAACAAATTTTGACTCAGTAACTAGGGATGAAATTAAAAAAGAATTTTTTTGTTTATTTATTTATTTATTTATTCCCAAAGCATATATAAATATACATACATAGATATAGTACATTAAATCCTATAGAGGAAAACATAACGTTTCCTGTTCATAGGTTTGGGAGGAGTGAATAGACATATCCACGTTCTAATTAGCAAATTGTCTAACTCCATTTTAGAGAATCTTCCATTTGTACGAAAAAACAATTGATTCAAAATTTAATATCACTTTAAAAAACCATTTAATATCATTAATATCTAATAGAGGTATAATATTTTTGTTTGGATCATTCAAATAATTTATAATTGGACTATTGCTGTATCAAAATATTAAAAAATTACCCTCTAAAAAATAAAGAGTTAGACAAATTTCTAATTAGACCATCGATATATGATTCACATGAAATACCGTCATATATGCCTACTTAACAACATAAGCTTAGTATTTAATAGATTTAATTTACTTAAATATAAATTATGAAGCGAAAAAATTATGAAAACCACCACAAATATTTTAAAACAATTACTCAAATGACATAAAAAAAAAAATATTTATTGAGTTAATAGTTACTCTCGACTAGACAGTAACCATTTTCTTAGATAGTATTTAGTTAACGTTAGTAAATTCTTTATTTCATTTGGTAACAGGTTAAAGTATTTTATTGCAATATACAAAGGACTATTTTGGTACTTAGTCTTGGTTATTTTGTATCCCTGTATTATTTTGTGTCTAGATCTGCCTTCATAGTTATTATATTTATGTGTACAAATATTAAAGTATTTTGTCAGACTACTTAGTACGAATTGTTGTTTTATGTTTAATATATGGTTGTACTCTATTCTTATTTTTTTTAATATTCTTTCTTGTATAGTAAAAAGTGGCTTCTTATTTTATTTTAATAATTTTTTTCATTGAATTTTTTTAATAATTGTTTTTATTGATAGTTTTTCTTCTGATAAATTTATATTACACGAGCGTTTGAGAGATATGTTAACGTATAAAACTATCATTATTATTCCCTCATCACTATGAATAAAACATGAAACAAATAATGTAAGGAATTTCCGGAATTATTTCCAACTCCAAAAGTTTTACGGTGTCAGAAAAATATTTCTTATCAGTTTTCTTATCACGCTCCCTTAGATCTATTTTTTATTACCTGTTAAAAAAGTTAAGTGACAATTTTCCTGAAATGAAATCACATTTTTCACTCTGGTAACTGATTAGTTATAAACAATAATTCAAGCAAGTTTTCAGAGCGCTTAAGTATTTCCTACAAGATTTATAGATTTGTTGATAAAAAAAAATTTTTATATCAAAGCGTTACACAAAAAATTAATTACTAATTACTGATGATTAATGACAATGATTGAAAAAAAATTCCAAGATAATTATCGTGAAGCGATCGGATTAGAAATGCGCAGTAATTAATTCAACCATGTTATAAGATGTTAATTATTAATTATGCAAATGGTTAATTAATTCTTGGATTACGTAAAGATATAAATAAAACTGAGTCGAAAATAAAAAATCGCTGGCATAAAAAGGAATTAATATAATGTAAATAATAAATATAAGTAATATTGATTTCCAATTGAATGAAATAATTATAATTTTTTGAACAGACAATGGAACGTGGACACAATTGTGGCTCATAACGGATTACCACGAGAAAGGCTCGCTTTTCGATTATCTAAATCGCTCAACAGTCGATACGAAGGGTATGATGAGAATGGCACTCACCATGGCAACCGGTCTTGCTCACTTACACATGGAGATTGTTGGGACACAGGGTAAACCAGCAATAGCTCATCGTGATCTCAAATCTAAAAATATTCTTGTCAAAACAAATGGCACGTGCGCTATTGGTGATCTGGGTCTTGCTGTGAGGCATGACGTTATTACAGACACCGTTGACATTCAGCTTAATAACCGGGTTGGAACTAAACGTTACATGGCCCCTGAAGTTAGTATTATTTTTATTATATTTACTTGTGTATTTAATGCTTCAATACAGGACTGAGATCATTGATTTATTGGCATTTATTTAATGGTATCAGGTATTATTTCAGGTCCTTGAAGAGACGATAAACATGAACCACTTTGATGCTTTCAAGAGGGCTGACGTATATGCTCTTGGTTTAATACTGTGGGAGATTGCCAGAAGGTGTAATGTAGGTGGTATTTATGATGATTACCAGCTACCATTTTATGATCTGGTACCTTCGGATCCTACTATTGAAGAAATGAGAAAAGTCGTTTGTACAGACCGACAGAGACCTTCTATTCCTAATAGATGGCAATCTATTGAAGTAAGTATTTTCTTTTCATTTTTTTTTGTCAATTAACTAATTACACGCTACGACTTTTTATGGTCTCGAGAAATTAGTTGTCATATTGATTTAAGCTTCATGTTATTTTATTTATTATATAACCAGTTTTATTTTTTATGGTTTATTTTGATATATTTCTTTGAATAAAATGAAAAAAAATTTTATTGAAAAGTAATTGATATTCAAAAATTTATTTATTGACATTTATAAATGAATTAAGCAATTTTTTTTTTAATTTAAGAGAATGAATATAAAAATTATTGAAAAATTTTAATATTTTTTTTTATTTCTAATTATTTTTTTTTATCACATTTAAGTTTAATAATACAAAATTAATTGTAGAATGTTCGCTATTTAAATGTTTTAAAAATAATGTATAGTTTATTTTTACATATAAAGTTTAATTTATTAAAAACTTAATTTTTATTAATATCGACGCTCAATAAATTTAAAAAAGTTGATTAAATGTATGGAGTAAAAAGAAATTAGTTTATCAAGCATAAATACACTTCATTTGTAAAATTTCTCTAGAATAATCATAAATTTCCAAAAATAAAAAAAAAAATTTTTTATTTTTGTGAAGTTTTCCAAAATTTTCAATAGATGTCAGCATCAAAAAATTTAATTTTGATATTTTCTTTAAAATTATAATTTTTGAATTTGAAATATTTTCGCGCCATTAGTAAATTTGGCGCGGGCCAATAGTAAGCTTTGCCTACGACGCCATTCCACACTCGTGACTCGGCTAGACTGCGATAGACGATAGCCATCCTTTTCTCTCAGTCATCAACCGTCATTGTCGGTCCCGGTTCGCGTTTTTTAGTAATTGTTGATAGTTTTAATGTTTAATTATTTTTGAAATGTAGTGAATTGCGAAATATATAATCTGTGGTATATAGAAAAGTAAATGTCATCGCGTGTCGTCGAATTTTGAAAACGTTAAGATTAAATTTTGTTGTGTAGAGTCCTTATTCGAGTTTTTTTATAAAAGTCTAGACGAAAATAATGTTAAGTGTAATCAAGTGGGAGTTTCCATTCAATATTTACATGATTTATATACAAAGAGTTCATTTATAATTGAAATAAATTATTTTTCATGATTTTGATTTTAAAAAATGTAAATATTATTAAATTCATGTTACAATTTATTAAGGTCCAGTTTTTCAATTCAGGATTTTTATCCTGGATTATTATTATTATTATTATTATTATTATTATTGCCAGTATATTTATATATATGAAAAATTTAGATATATTTTATCATTGGATAAAATTTTATCCTGGATTGAAAAACTGGCCCTAAAAAGTGCCAATATTTATAAAAATGGCAACCATCAAAAAATTTTTGTCCATAATTTTTTTTTTTTTTTTTTTTTTTTTTTTTTTTAAAAAGAAATGTCTGAAATTTTTTTTGTTTTTAAATTTAATATTTAAGAAAAAATTTATTTTAATTATTTTTTTTTATAATTTATTTTAATAATCGTTAATTTATTTGAAGCCTCAATACTAGAGTACTTTTTCGGAAGCGCATTTGTGTTACAAATGAATGACACCGAAGTTTACAGACATAAAAAATATTCTTAGAACTTTATGGCAATAAAATTATTATAAAAAAAATTAATTAAAAAATTTCACATATTAAAATTAATAAAAATTACAAGTGAAAATTTTTAGAAGCATTTTTTTATTGTAACTGATTCGTTACAAAAATTTTTAAAATTGACAGCTGACGGCTAGCTTCAGTATTATTACAAATGATCAATAATTTATGTTACAGGCACTACAAGTAATGTCAAAAGTAATGAAGGAGTGTTGGTACCACAACGCAGCAGCGAGGCTGACTGCTCTACGTATTAAAAAATCACTGGCCAACTACGGATCGATAGCAGACATTAAGTAAGTAATTTGGAACATGGACTTATCTAGACTTGGATTGCCAACGAATCAGCTTCAGTAATCACATCTGCATGCTCAGGAATAACTATGGATAGGAGATCTTATATTCATCAACTCAATGTAAATTGCGTACGATTTTAATTATCAATACTTCCAACTATTGGTATATTAAATGAATATGTTGGTATAATTTATTTATAATTTAAAAAAAGGAGACTGATGACAGTAAATAAACGGACAACTTTCTACAATTGTATTTGTATGAATAACAACGATCATGTCATTGCTTTGCAATTGATAAAATTTAGGCTTTAAAAATATAAAATTTTATTTTTACACATAAAAATTAAAAATGATAATTATTTGGAGGATCGATTAGAGAGAAAGATAATGGATTTTTAAATCTTCTGGCTTAATGCTAAAAAAAAGTCTCGGTATGTGATAGATATTTTTTTATTTAGTGATTTCTCTTAAAATATAATTATATTTATATAGTAATTCAAAATTAATTGAAGCTTTATTTTGATAAGTGCATTATTAATCGATTTGTTATTCACTAACGCGATCGATTGCGAGTTATTGAAATTAGCTTTATCATCAATATTTTAATCTTAAATTAGTAATTAATGGAAATTTTTAAAATTAAATTGATAATTAAACAAGTTTGTCGATTACGATTATTGTCAGTGTATAAAAAAAAAAAATAATAATGATGATGATGATGATGATTATGATTATGAAGATGATGATGAAGGTAAAAATAAAAGAAATGAGTTTCTAGCTTTTAAGTACACCCGAATATTTTTGCTCAAATTTTAACGAATAAAATATTAATCATTCAGGTACTATTTGTGCCAGCAGTTAAATTTTTTAACCCACCATGACTGTGTATCTTTGCAATTTTTATTCTTTTTTCTTCAATTTAATTTTAAAATATGATTGAAAAAAAATTCCATTGATTAAAAAAGAAAAAATTCTTAAAGATTTTTAATTCAACAAATAAATTTCTTGGTTAAAAAAAAAAATAAAATTGTAGAGTGCAAAGTTATAAAGATGAAAAATAATCTTTTTTCCGTAAAACAACATGGAAGGCTGAAGTAAAAGGGTGCTAAGAAATTAGCGATAGACTGGAAGCAAACGAGCAAATACGAATACAATAAAAAAAGAATAAATAAATAATAAAAAAGGGTGTGTAAAGATAATTAAGAAGGTGTTAATGTAAAGAAGTTTAGTAATTGGATCAAACAAAATTGAAAAGACTATATTTTCGGGAATTTTATTTGTAGGTTCGTGATAATAATAAAATACTAAAAATAAAAAAGAACAAAAAAAAAAAATAACAAAATTTAGTGAGTACTGACTATTGTTAGGTTTGAGATGTGATTGATATGAATAGGATACGATACGATACAATTACATGATATGAGTAGGAATGATTCGAGATTGAATGTCATTCATTTATTTTTTTTATTATTATTATTTATCTTTATAAATATTAATATTAATAAAATGCAATGAAATGAAATTGACGTTAGGAGTTAATATAATAATAAATGATAATTGATAGCAGCTATGTGAGCCGTGAAACGTTTAGACTGATTATGCTTCGAGGAACAAGAAAGCTCCTTTTCATTCTTTTTAACTTAAATGATATCGACAAGTTACAAGGTTTTCGATTACTGGATTCAAGTTAATGGAATGTGTAAAAAAAAACTTATCAGAAAAAAATTATAATTACTTTTTAAATTTTTTATATGAGAAGGCAATCTATTAATTTTATTTGTCGATTGATCTTCGTCATCCAATTGCACTAAACATTTAATATTAATTGAAAAAAATTTTTTCTGACAATTAATAATTATTTATATTATAAAAAAAATTAAGTAATACGTAAGCGTATTTTTTTTTTAATATTTATTTTTATTTTGTTACTCAGTCTAATACGCAAATTATTTATATTACTTTTATTTGGTTTTAATGTATTGCTGTTATTTGGTTCTAAAACCCGGGCCCGACTGTCTACCGAGCAGAATGGTAATGATTAACTATAATGACATAACTACATGCCGATACGTATAAATAAAACTAATATTTATGATAAATTAATATACTTCTGATCCGTGTAGTGTGTTAACACTTGTCCATGGATCGCAATTCACTCAAAGACTGAAATACATATTCATAGTAGATTTACATCAGAATTTTTACAATTTTAAAATAGTTACAATACAATAACAACTAAATTAAACAGCGTACTAAGTTGATTAGTTATTTTATAACTCAATTTTATACTTTAATAATATTAATGTATTATTAACTGATGATACCGCTGCTAAACGACATGTTCATCATTTATTTTATCTAATGTTCCCCAATTACATTCCTGTTAATTATTTAGGGTATTTTGTTTTTTTTATATTAATATATTTGAATATATATATTTATATATAAATATAAAGTATATCTTGTCTACGAGTAGTTATTATTAATAACTGTTTTTTTTTTTTTAATTATAAACTGGATGAACCTACCGAGCGTTTTTTATTGAATTGAGCAAAATTTAAAGATTAGTTTTATTGAAACTTCCAATAGAATATTCAAAAGAGCTCCCAGTTATTACCACTAGTACAATAATGTGCCAATACATTGACAGCTGAAGTTTATAATTAAATCCAGATTAATAGAACAAGTAATAATAATAATTATAATAATAATAATGATAAAATAGTAATAATGATAATATTTGTAATCAAGCTTGATCTGTTGCTGACAACAACAATCAATAAAATCTTCTCATATTTAACAAAGTAATATATGAACATATGTAAAATTAATCAAGTTAAGTGAATGCAATCCTATTGAACTTTTAAATTAATTTCTTTATCTTAACAATAGAAGAAAAATATCTGATTAATTTTTTAGTAGTTAATTTTATTTTTATTAGATATTTTTCTTTTTAAAAAAATATTTGGACCAAATTAATGAAGAAAAATCTAATTATGGTTATTAATAATTTTTTTTAATTTACTCTTCAGATATTTTAGCTATAATAATTAAAATAAAAAATTAATTTAAACAATTTCTTCCGAACTCGTTTAATTTAAAAAAAAAAACCGTCAGTTGGGCCCGTGAAAAAAAAAACAGTCTGAATCAATTTATCCGTAACAGTAAAACTGCCAATTACAATTTACAATTAAAGTCTATAATTCTTATCAGTTTACAAATTATTATTAATAACTAATAAGTGAATAATATTAATAATAATAATAATAATAATAATAATAATAATAATAATAATAATAATAATAATGACTAATGATAATCCTTATATATATATATATAAATATAAAAATATATATTTATTTTGCCATTGAAAAACCAAACTTGTAAACAAATGTATGTATACCGTTACACAAATCCGCGAATTTAGAATGCGAGTGACACGTTAAAATATAATAACAATAATTACTATGACTATTATATTATATATTTACAATATTTAAATACGTTATTTATACGCTTTGTATATGGTTTGTTTTTTTTTTAATTCGATATTGTACTATCAATTACATAATTATAAATGAATAATTACAATGGTCGAGCTGAGATGTTTTGCGTTATAGAATAAAACTGTTTAGCTTGTGCTTTGTCAGCTATTTACGTACTTGGATCAAAATGAGAATTAGGCGAGACGGTTTGAACAAAAATAATTAAAAAATATATTTATGTTATTTTTGATACCGGAAGATCTTTTAGACATTCTTACTGGTCGAGGTTTATTTTGGCTGCTTGCCCTTTACACTTATATTTATCTTTTATTTATTATTATTATTATTATTATTATTATTATTATTATTATTATTATTATTACTTATTAAAATTATATTTTTTTACTTATAATAACTCAGTTATTCAAGCCGTCTCATTAATATAATTAATACCTAGCGATAATATAATATATTTCAAAAAATAAAGGAAGCATGGGTTACCGAATTATTTACAAAATTTGAAACTAAAAATAAAAATTTTAAGTTGGTTAATTTATTGATTGTTACCCGGTAAACTCTTGCCTTCGTTGCTTCATTAATTTAATTGTTATTAATTACATTATATTTTTACTTATCTTTATTTTTATTATCATTATCATTATTAATTATCATTATTATTATTTTTTTATTTTATTAATGTATAATACCCTGTACATAACGGTGTAAATGATTGTGAAAAATAAGAAACAAAAAAAAAATTAACAAAACTTATGTCAAGTATTTGTAATTTTTTTTTATTTGATAAGTGATTTATATTATTTATTATTAATAAATCATTAATACTATGGCTCTGATTTTATAATTGGTCATAGTCATGTCATGATCATGATAAATATAATTTTTTTTTAATGTTAATGATAGTTACACGTTAGAAATTTTTTAGATAGTACTTTTCACAAATCTATAGAACAAAATAGTCAGGAAATTTATAAACAGTTACCGTTGTTGAAAAATATACCATTACCATTGCCTTTACATGACACAAACAATATAAATTATATATGAATAAAATAAAAATTTCAACACTCTACAATCCACATTTGTGCACACATACTCGTTAGAAACTGTAATTCAATAGTAATGATGATAATAATATCATTCTCAATAATATTTTATATGTAAAATTTTTTTTTATTAATCAGTTAAAGAACTAATTTATTTATTATATAATTATCATATTATATATGATATATAGTAGTTATTTTTTATGATTAAGTCTTGGTTTACATTATCAATAAAATTGGAAAAAGTGGATTAAATGTAAAAGAAAATTTTTTATTTTCCAAATCCTGTAGAGAAGGTGGAGTTCGAAAATATTTATAAAATTTAATAATATTTTCGATATAAAATTACTTATATTGAATTTTAGTTAATAACTTCTACAAAATCTAATAAGTTTTTTGTATTTTTTATTTTTTTTTAATCTTGAGTAACTTATAATTAAAAATTTTGGGAATTTCAAGGATTTTTTTTATTGAATAAAATAATTTAAAAATTCAATAAAAAAAATTAAACCATTTTCAGTAGTCCTCTTCTCCTCCTTCTCCAAAAGTCCTTAAAAAAAAAAACACCTAAAATATCTGAATAATCTCAAAATCAGGAAAGGACAATACAGGTAATTATTCCACGTACGTGTTTAAGTTTATTATTATTAAGTAAAGTGTCGCACACACATTAAAAGATAAATAAACGTGTGTGCGTACAGCGAGTGTTGTGTGTACTAGAATAGGTAATGATTAATGATATAATCTATAATAGTTTAGATACAATAATATATATTTTATCTTTTAAATAATTTATTTTCACCATTATTTTTATTTTATTCATAATTTAAAATCGTCATTCGGGTGAGAAGGGCACGAAAGGTTATTTTAATAATTAAAAGTCAATGCGAATTAATTATTCCCACCTCGAGCTCTGTTTTAATTTTTTATAAAAATAAAATAGTTCATTTTTTTTTATTTATTTATTTACTCTTTTTTTTTATAAATCCAGGGACGATCCATTAAACTTTTATTTTCGTCTCCAACCATGGAAAAAAATAATAATAATAACCACTATTATTATCAATTAGCGATGATAGTTAATAATTAATAACAGTTATAATAATAAAATATATATTGATCGACCCTATTAATTTTGGTCAGTTACAATTAAGCTGTCACCCTCATTTTTAAATATTCTTCTTTAATTTTTTTTTTATCAAAGTATTTTATTTCTCCTTATATTAATATTATAATTTTTTTTAATTTGTATCCTTCTGTCTCGATGCTTAAAATGAATTATAGTTTATTAAATAAATAAATCAATTTGCATTTCAGTACACATTAAGTCGAGTACAATAAGGATAATAATAATAATTTATAATAATAATAATAATAATAATAATAATATTTATAATAATAATAATAATTATAATAATATTAATAATAATAATGAATGAAAAGATGTTTGATAAATGGAGGCATTTATTATTGGAAATAAAGATGTCGATAATAAATTAGTTCATCTCCTGCCTCGATTCCTGGACTAGGTAGACTTGCGATCCTGGTACAGTGGATGTCGTGACAAAGCTGCGGTGTTTCGCACGGATCAGGGTTAGATTGCTTTCGGCAGTGTCTGCGCGATCTTCAGCAGCCTCAAGTTCTCTCTGGAACCGCCGGACTCGGGTGACGCTCTGTTGAGACATGCCTTCTTGCTCGTGGAGCTGTCTCTTGTAAATAGAAACCTTCTGTTGGGACTTGTCCAGCGACTCTTGGAGAAGAGCAATGTTCTTGGAATCCTCCTCAACTTGGATCATCACCTCCTTGATGTTGCGCTCCTTTTTGCGGAGGATCTTCACGGTTTCCGCGTGTCGGCGTTTCTCCTCGTCCAATTCCAATTCCAAGTCACGAATCTGAGAAAGAATAATTTGTCATTTAAAGTTGTTGAAAAAAATTTTTAAATATTGTTAATTATCATTACCCGTGATTCAAGTTTGCTGATGATACGCTTGCCACCGACGATAGCGTTGGCCTCAACTTCTTCCAAACGCACTGAGAGATTCTTTACTTCGATTTCTAGGGACTTCTTGATAGACTCGATCTTGACAATGCGCTCTTGTTCTTCGTGCAAAATTTCAACTGTGTGCTTGAACTCAGTTTGGACGCGTTGGTATCGCTCATCGCTCATTCTCAATTCTTTGGTAACTTCCTCGTAGTCACCGGCCAGAGCTGTCAATTCTTGTTCCAATTTTGATCTTGAAGATGTTATATTGACGTTTATGGTTGTCAGCTCATTGATGCGGCTTACTGACTCTTCGTATTGCTGCTCGACGTTTCTCTTTGCGCGTAGTGCCTTTGAATAAATAATTTATTAATTTATTGACGATCACTTAATTTTATTTTTTAATTATTCAATAAAATTGTTTTTAATGAAAAATTACTTACGGATTCATAGTTGCCGCGAATTTCTTCAATTTCAGCAGTCAATGATTGGAGTCGGCGTTGACTTATTCCCAATTGATCAAGTGTTACGGACAATTGACGTTGTACTTCATCGTAGTGAGATTGCAATTCCTTTGAAAAAAAAAAAAAAAAAAAAAAAAAAAAATCAATGTTTTTCATGCATAGAAAGAAAAATTTCTTGGCTCAAGAAAATTTTCGGATGTCTGAAGGAAGACTGAAGTAAAAATTTTTCGAGAAATTCTATTTTTGGTGGAAGTAATTTTTTCTTAATTCAAATTATCATAAATACTTGATACAAAAAATTTTTATTTTTGATAAAAATTTTAAGATACTTTAGGAAAGTAGCGCCACTTACTTCAGCTGAGAAAAAAATTTTATTATCTTGAGAAAATTTTTCTCTTGAATATTTGATACCCATTTTATATTATTTTAGCGTGCAATTATACATATTAAATGAAAAAAAATGATTCAATATTATTTAATCTTCCCATTAGACATGTTAATCCATAAAAATATTAATGAAAATTTACTTCTATCGAGATATTTAATTTTTTGGAGCAAGAAGTTGAATTTTCTCAAAACAAGAAGATTTTCTTGGATCAAAATACGTATTTCTTAAAGCAAAAAAATTAATTTTGTTGGAATAAGTGAAATTTCTTGTGTCAAAAAATTTTTTTTTTGCTCAAGAAAATAATTAGGAAGAAAAATATTTTCTCGGCTCAAGTGAACCTTTTTTTCTATGTGTAAATTTTCAATTAAAATCTGCTTTCTGGATTTTAAATTTTGGCTGTCGATTTTTTTACATTCTTGTATTACATAATACAAAAATCTAAATTTAAAAATATTTTTTCTTGAAATATTTATTTATTAAAAATAATCCTAAAAATTATAAAATTCTTGCAGAAAAAAAAATGTTTAAAAATACTTACTGTCAAAGTGAGCGATTGCTTCTTGATAGTCTTCTGCAGGTCAATGTTATTCTTGTTAGCAACATCCAAAGACAATTCCAATTCAGTGATCTGTATCTGGAGCTTCTTCTTGATACGTGTAACTTCAGTTTTCAATTTAGTTTCAGCTTCGACCACTCGGGCGTTCAACTGTTCAATTTCAATGCTGGTCTGTTTGCTAATTTTGAAAAAATAAATTAATAAAAACGAAAAAAAACAAACTTATCAATGAGAAAAAAACATTTTCAAACATGGATAGACTTTTAAGAATAATATCGATTGTTTGGACTACCTCTTATCCATATAATAATTGCTAGACCTAATGTCGAGTTCCTTCAATTCGTTAGTTAATTCGTCGAGGGGCTGGGTAAGTCTCATCTCTTCATCCTTGAGCAATTTAGCGCGATCCTCCATCATTCTAACGTGGTCTCGCTCGTCCCACATAGCTTGCATTGCTTCTCGTTGGTATTTTCTGATATCCGCGAGCTCTGTCGTGCCGGATAAATTTTTTGCCGTCTCAGCTCTCAATTCGAATTCAATAGCTCTGGCGGATTTTCCACGTAAGCGTACGCTGTGATCTAATGCCTGTTTAACGTGTCGCATTTTTTCGTTGTTTCTTACTGTTTGCACCATCAAATCGGCCATTGTCACGTCCAGGGGAATCGGGCGTTCGTTTCGGAAAGATTTTGTTGTTTCGTCAATATTCGACGGTAGTAGATCCTTGGTTACGTGGGTTGCTTCGACAGCTTTTCTCAAACTAAAGTCTGAACGTTTTGCGATCTTTAAACCAAACAATGATCTGCTTAATACAAAGATTACTTTAATTGGTCCTTAATTATTTATTTTATAGTTTAAATATGTTAAAAAATTAACAATAAATAATTACAAAGGATTGGTCGGTAGAAAAATTAAAAAATAGGGAGTTTCAGGAATAAACTTGTGAGTTAATGTATTTCCGCGCGCGAGCTTTAACAAACCGCACTGGTATGAAAGCACTTGAAGATAGCTGGCCTGTTCCCCGGACTACAAAATTAGATATTTAAAAGGTCAGCCGTCGCCAAGTTGCCCGCACCAATCATCATCAATTTTTCCCCGTCTTTCCGCTCAATTTTCATTCTTATTAGTTCTCCCACTTTTAACTTATTATTGTTATTAATAATTATTAATAACTTTATTTTAAAGAACATATGTTGATAATGATTAATTTTTATTTTAACTGCTATAAATTATTTTCAGCTGATTGAAAAGTCATTTATAAGTTCAAAGTCACTTTTCAATTTTTTTTTAATCTATTTTAAAAATTATTATTATTATTATTATTATTATTATTATTATTATTATTATTATAAATTTTAGGATCAAATTTCATAAAAGTGTTAAATTCTTAGTTATTTTTGAGAATATTCAAGTTCAAAAATATTTTTGGCAATAATAAAATTAATCTAATTGTTAACTTATAAGTTAAAAAAAAATCAATTATTTATTTACTAAAAATTTTTTAAATTTAATCAACTTTCAAAATTCTAAATATTTATTTAAATATAAAAATTTTTTATTTAAATCTACAATTAATTCAATTCTTAAAAAATTCAAATTTGAAACTAGACTCAAAAAAATGATCAGTATCAAAAATTTCTTATTTACTTTAGAAAAAAAATTAATCTTGAGTAATAATTAAAAATAAATAATCTAGTTGAATAAAAGATTATAATGTTCTTATAAAATAAAAAATTATAATTTTCTTATAAATAAAAAATTATAAATTTCTTATAAAATAAAAAATTATAATTTTCAATAAAATAAAAAATTATAATTTTCTTATAAAAAAATACATATATGTCCTTTCAAAAGATTACATAAGAATAAAAATTATAATCCAAAATATTTTGGCAAATGAATTGTAAATACGCGTGTGATAAATCACAACTAATTAATCACCTCTATAAGTAAATTTGAATTAACCAATAGCAAGGCAATTGCATACCTTAAAATGAGACAAATGATCCTTGGCTTGATCTTCCGCCTCCATGGCGTGCTGAATTAATTCTTCAGCCGTGTAAGGAAGAACGCGTTTTCGTTCCCACAGTAACCGTTCGTCAGACCAGGGCATTTCTGGATACTCTGGATTCTTAGTAACATTTTGACTTTTTTTATCAATATAATCAATCATCGGCTGGTAATAATTAATCCCATAACTGTAATTTTTGTCGTAAACTGTCGTAGGGTGAGATTTCTTCCATTTAGTGTCCAACGGCATGTGAGACAATGGCACGTCACCCGACATTTTAGTGTGTTGAAAAATATCCAAATGCGTTAACAATTATAACAATAATAATTAATATTTTTGTTAATATTAATTATTATAAAAGCACTAATCACGAAATGAATGCGATGACCAGAGGATCTGATAAGACAACAATTAAAACTGGTTTCGATGGTCAACAGACATGAGTCTTACTGCGTTAGGGATCTTTTGTAGTTTTGTTTTTCAGGTCTCGATCCATCGATTTAATGTGTGATTACTTAGCTGGTAATGAGAGCGACCAATCAGCACCGCTAATAAGTAGATCGGCTTGCGGGTATTGTATATTATTAGAGAGCTGTACTAGATAATATAATGCCGAGGTGTCGATGATTGGCGAGGCAAACTGTCGAAGATTTCCCCCAGTAATCAATTAGTTATGTTTAGTGTTGATTGATAGATCACGTGTCATCTGCTCACATGTAAAAGCTCCCATTCAGTCTTCATTCAGCTTAACTCTTCTTCTATTCTTTTCCATCAATCGATCTCGAGATGTCGGACTTTACTCTTAAATTTTCACTTGCTTGTATTTTATTAAAATAAAAAAATTCTCATTTCTATATTTTACAATTTTTTTTATCAATTTTTTCAATGTGAAATTTTTGAACCAAATTTTGAAATAAAATTTCACTCACTGATAGAAGGATTTATTTGTAACAAAAAATATTTGTCAATAGTTAACAAATCATTTATTAGAGACCACTTTTTAGTATTAAAAATTATTTGTTTGCATTCTGATATTCATTTATTAAATTTTTTTAAATACTAAGAAATATTTATTAACGACTAAAAAGTGGTCTCTAATAAATGATTTGTTAAATATTAAAAAATATTTTTAATTTTTAACTATAAATAAATCCTTCTATCAGTGCGGAATTGATTGAAGAAATGGATCAAAATTCAATAAAATCTAAATAAACTTTTGTTCAGTTATCAAATAAATAAATTGCCATTGTCCTTGAATAAGTTCTGTTGAAATTGTCGATTGATCCGGTGAGCTAGGCCATGGTTATCGATCAAAATAAATTCATTGCGTCATCGATGATTAACGTTGTTAAACTAAAAGTCTATCCATGATAGAAAAGAAAATTGAAAAGAAAAAAAATTAATCAACTCACCGGATGCATTCTATTTCTTCGTCTTTCTCAGCAAGACGACGATCGGTTTCGTGACGAAGTGCACTTAGTTCGGCTGACAAACGCTGGGATCGTTGTTCTTCTACTTTGCGGCCCTAAAATTTATTGGAACAAAGATAAATTGTAGATTGGTTCAATTTTTATCTCTTAAAAAAAAGTTTTTTTTTTTATTAAACTAAATTTGGAAGATAATTACAGCTTCGGCTTCCTTGTAAGCAGCTGCTAATTCTTCACGTTCGTTCTCAAGACGACGGAGCTCCAATTCCAATTCATGGAGACGACGGTTCATGTCACCCAATTGGTTCTTAGCGTCGGATAAATCATCTGAAATAATATTTTGCTTTTATGATTTTGAATAAAAGAATTTTTGAATTCTTGAAATTGTGAAATTAAAGGTCAAGGGACTTCTTCTTAATTAATAGAGATTCTTAGTGGTGCAATCAGCATCTAAGGGTTGTTTATTGCGATACTGAGCTTTATTGGTTTAAGAAAGTTCGATTGCTTGAGTTTGAAGTAGAAGGAAAATGGAAATGAGAAACTGGTAATGTATTTTCAACAATTAGTATTATTTTCCCGGGTTCTTTGCTTCGTAACAAGAAAGTTTGCTCTTATATCAAGAAGTCTTGATGCTCAAGCTGTCGGGAGGATTATGTTTAATTAAATTGAAAATATTTAAATGCTTTGACTTTTGGGGCTGTAAATTACCAAGTGAAGAAGGGTATAGTTATTGTTAAAGTACAAAAGCTAAGAAAGCTGGTGATTAAATTTTACTTGTTATAGAACCTTTTATTTGTAGAAAAGCTCTTCGGGTTTTGAATATTTATTAAAAGTTATCAATTATTTTTGTTTTGTTAAATTGGATAAACTTTTAATTTAATTTTTGAATTATTAATTAATATTTTTATAGAATAACAAGTCATTGAAATAAATAAAATTTTCATTTTAATCAAAAATAAAAAATATTTAAAAAATAAATTTATGTTTAGATTTTTTTTTAATTAATATTAAACTTTATAAAAGTTATTAAAAACTTAAAACTTAGATTTTTTTTTTTCAAACTTAAAAATTTGATAGTAAATTTTGACTTTTGATAAATTAATTTTATCTCAATAATAATCACTAGCAACCTGCAGTCGCTATGCACTAATAGTTTGGGTACTTTTTAAATAAACTTAAACAATAATAGTGCTATCACATGATCAATTCCAAATACTTAATAGACAAATGTGACCGAACAAATTTATAAAACTAAAAAACTATTAAAAATTCCTCCAAAAACTTGACATAAAAAATTGACTATTTTTATTGTCATCTTGCCAAAAAAAAAAAAAAAAAAAATATTTTTTATTAAATATTTCAACAGTCCAATTTTAAAACACAGTAACTGCAAAATTTTTATATCTGATTTTTTTTAGTATTGTTGCATTTCTTATAACTTGTAGACCTTAATTTCAAGTATTTTTTCTTAAAAATATTTATATTCAAGTATTATCTATTCATAAATTAAATGTTTTATCAATTTGACGCGCAATTTTTTTTCTAATAAGAAAAATTTAAAAAAATTTTTAAATTGTCATTTACTGTGTTTTGAAACTGGGCAGCCGATTTATCAGTCATAAAAAAAATTAATAAAAAGGAAAAAACCCAATAATTACCTCCAAGTTTCTTATTTTCACGTGCAAGTTGTTCCTTAAGATCACGGGTCTTCTCCAACTCGGCGTTGCATCTCATAAGCTCCTGCTGTTTGTTTCTAAGATCACGCTGGCTCTGCTCGTACAGAGTAACGGTCTCCTCCAACCGCGATTTCAACTCGATGTTAACCTTCTCCAAGTGCTCAACGCGCTTCTGCATCTCCCGAGCAGTTCCATTGGCCTTCTCAAGATCGATAATGAGAACCTCGACCTCGGACTGCAAGCGCGACTTCTGCTTCTCCAAGTTGTTGATCCTGACCAGGAGGTTCTCGATCTGCTCCTCCTGTTCCTGGATGCGGCAGGTGAACTTGCGACGGAGTTCCTCCACCTCCTCGACGCGAGCGTTTGCTTCGGTTTCGTACTTGGATCTCCAGACTTGGACCTCACCAGTGGCCTTCACCAGCTGCCGTTCCAGGTCCAGGCGTGCCTCAGACTCTTCTTCGAGCTGAACTCGGACGGACTCGAGCTCAGTCTCTACCTGGTGCAGAGAAGCCTCGACCATCATGCGACGACGGTCTTCATCCTCCAAACGACGACGAGCGTCCTCCAATTGGCTGGCCAACTGAGACTTGGTGTAGACAATGCTCTCCATGTTTACTTTCAAGTCCTGGACTTCTCTTACCAGCTCGGTGTTTTCTTGGGACATGCGGGTCTTGTGGCTGGTGATGTCCACGATTGTACGGTTCAGTTCCTCGATCTTGACATTCAGTTCTGAAATATGGATCTCCAATTTCTCAATCGTTTTTATTGAGAGTACTTTCTCCTTTGTTACATTGTCCAGCTGGGCCAAAAGTTCGTATACCTCTTGTTGGAATTTTGCTTTTTCTTTGTCCGCCCTAAATTTTTTAATTATTTATATTATTGGTTGTTAATCTTAAAAATTCAACATTAGTAAAAAGATTTATTGCTTTAATTACGTTTATTGAAAACTCGTACTGTATATTGAAAAGAAAATTAAAGAAGAAAAATGATTTTGAATTAGATAAAATGTACAGAAATCTAGACGATGAAAGTCTTCAAAATGATTTTATTGGGATAAAAATTTTTCTTTTAAATCGAGTTCATTTTTTTCGGTGTATTTTTTGTATTAAAAATAACTAGCAACCTTGCAGTCACTATGTGACTGCTGTGACTTGTGAACTATAAATTAATAAAATTTTGCTATATTAAATTAATGACTTTTGTTAAATTGCACTGTACTTTTTTAACTATTGACGTTTTTAAACATATAAACTCATCCTGATGTTACACTCATCAAGAGCTTTCATTTGAGTACCCACATGCATTTTGATATATTTTTCATATATACATATATATAATATATATAAATATATGAAAAAATGATGTGGGTACTTAAATGAAAGGTCTTGATGAGTGTAACACCGGGATGAGCTTATATCTTTAAAAATTTCAATAGTTCACAAGATACAGGGTCATTTCTTAATTATTGACATTTTTAAAGATATAAGCTCATCTCGATGTTACACTCATCAAGAGCTTTCATTTGAGTACCCACATGCATTTTAATATATTTTTCATATATACATATATATCATATATATAAATATATGAAAAATTGATGTGGATACTCAAATGAAAGGTCTCAATGAGTGTAACATCGGGATGAGCTTATATCTTTACAAATGTCAATAGTTCACGATACAGGGTCATTTCTTAATTATGTATCTAGAGATAGAGCTTTTTCGAATGCAGCCTAAATACTTATCATCATGAATAAATAAATAAATAAATAAAAATTTTAAAGTATAAATATTTGAAAAACGAAATTGAAATACTAATATTAATATTTTGACTTTAATTTATCATTAATTTTTTTTTCTTCATTGTATTGATAAAGTAAATCTATTATTATATCAAATTTAACTTCTTTTAATAAAAATTAATGCTTTGATTTCAAAAACTAAAGATAAATTAAAAATTTTGAATTCTTTGTCAACCAAAAATTAATTTCTTCATCCTGACTTTATGATCAATAGCAAAAATCAATTTTCCTACTTTATATCTTCTTTATTCCAGTTGAAAATAAAAAACTTCATCTTCTTCTCTAACTTCTCATCATAAATAAAAAAAAATTTTTTTCAAGTTAAAAACCTAAAGAATTTCATCACCCAAGATTCAAAAACATAAAAATAGCCTGTTCCATCTGCAATTCCCATCAAAATCATAACAATGAAAACCCAAAGTAAATATCTGTCATCATGTCTCCTAAATAATACAAAAATAAAACAAAAAATTCAAAAATATCTCTCCCATATAATATAATACATAATAAAAATAACTGGTCTGCGTCCCCAATAGTTTATTTAAGCTTCTGGAATTGGTACAGATTATCTAAATCCAAATTTCATTTAATTACTGTACGTTTGTCAGAAAGATCCGTCATGCTGACACTGGGTAATTATACGTAGGTCATTAACTGAGATGTTTATAACTTCTAGAAAAAAAAGCTTGAAAAAATAAAAACAGTCCCATCCTTCAAACGTCCACCCACGCGATCATGAAAGAGTGTAAGGTGTCGTCCGTTTGGTATTTATCCGAGTGGGGATATTCAGGCCGGTAACGTGGACTAATATGGCGCGCAGTGGGGTTGAGAATTACTTCGCGGACTCGGTTAAAAATAGTCATAAGCCGCGTAACTCAGTACGCTAAGCTGAAGAACCGACTTCTACCGGCTCTCTTATTTATTCAGATAATTGCCCGCGATACTTTTTTATAAATCAATAATTTTCCTAAAATAATTCTTCATCAGACTCGGTTTAAAAATTTAATCCCAAAATTATTAAAAAATCTAAAAATTTAAAACGAGTATTTTGAAAAAAATTTCATTTTTATAGCATCTGGTCCTAAGTTTAGAAAGTTTTTGGCAGAACAGGCCATTTATGTATTTCAGGTGTACATTCTCTCCTCGGCTCACTTTTCTCTCCACGACAGAGCTTGGAGACCAGCCAGTTCCGCAAACATAATCATCATTTTTAAATAAAACGCCGCTTAATATTTTAAGTAATAATTCCGCTGACCTGGCGCGAGCTTTTGACATCTGGTCAATTTGGTCCTGGAAGTCAACCACGATTTCCTGGTGCTTCTTTCGGAGGTGGTGAGCGGTCTCTTCGCTCTCCAGATGGACATCTTCCAGCAGTTTTCTCAGTTTTAACAACTCAGTGTCTCTTTTCTTGTTGATCTCAAACTGAAAAAAAAATCTTTTAAATAAAATTCTTTATCTCTTAAATTCTAAATTACGTTGAAAAAAAATTACTTGAGATTCAGCGCCACCCTCAGCTTCCTCCAAGCGCTCGGATAGTTGGATAACCTGGACACTGAGATCGGCCCGTTCACGTTCAACCTGAAAATTTAAACAAACCAAATAATTTATTTTTATTGTCAAGTTTTGAAAAATTTTACGGTTTTAATTTTTTTTTTTTTTAGGAATATAAAAAATATTTTAAACTCTTTTTTTTTAATCAAAACTTAAAAATTTGATTAATAAAAAAAATTGTGGAAATTTATTTGAAATGTGTTTCAATGATATTTGAGTTCTCTATTTAAAATGGTCATTCCTCCCACACTAGTACCGCAATTTCTAAAAATAAGTGTTCTATTACGAGTAAATTATTTAAAATTTATTCAACAATAAAATTGAAAGTGATAGAAATAAAATTTCTCTCCAATGCAAGATTACGCGGTAGTTTGGTATTAAAAAAAAAAAAAAAAGCTCACAAATAACAATTCTAAATAAAGCCGCGCCTACAGCCGCTTTATTCACCTTTTAAACGTTCGTTTTTCCGCTATGATTTACAATAATCCTCCTTTGTTTCTCTCGCCCCTAAACTACTCTACTTCATTGATGTCTAAGATCTTGTCAGTGTCATAAAAGCGTCTGCAATTTATTTAAAACAATTAACCCTATGACTTTGGGACAAATTTAAATTACCATAAATATTTACTCTGAAAATTCTAAAGTTGAACAAAAATTTGTGTTTTTGTTTCTTTATTTTCAGTGTATTGATTCCAAGGCCGATCTTTCGAGGCCATAAATTCAAACGCATACCGATTCTCGGTCATTAAATACGCGAGGTAGGAATGCAATGAGCAAAGAGCCGCCGAAAGGCTTAATCTGAGATGCCCCAAAAATAGAGACGGTTAGCTGGACTTTTCGACCTAGTCATATTACCCCTTCTTTTTAAAAATTTTTTATAAATTATTTATAAATAACGTGTGTTATTTATCGAGTGTTAAGTACTCAAAATTCCATAAATTTTCATACAAAATAATTTACAGTTACTTTGACTTACCCTTTGACGTAATTCTCTCTCACACTCTAGATCTTCTTGCAGAAGACGAATTTTGTCCTGAAACAAAAAATAATTCAATAAATCTATTAATCAAATTTTTAAATTATCAACATGTGAATTTATTGAAAAGAAAAAAAAAATATACATATATTTATATTAATAGTATTGTATTTTTAAAGCAGATATAGCTCAGACAAAGTTAGATTTTAAGATCTGGGCTTTTACGTAATCGGACGACAAAAATATCCTCGTTAAACACTTTGTTACGCGGAACGCATTAACTAGAAAATTTAGGACTCAGCACCATTTGCAAACTTTAAACAAAACTCAAAAATATTTATCAAATTTTTCATTTTTACTCCTACAAGAAAAATTAATATTTATATCAATAAAAATTAACAATAACAATACATCAGACAGATCTACGTCACACATTTATTTATTTATAAATTTATCTATTTTAGTCTCGCTCTATCCGGTAGACATTTTCAGTCGTTCACTTTGGCTTCTTAGATGGTTGGCACTAACATCCATGGTCACTGAACTCCGAGGCACTTTTCAGTCTTTTTTATTTTGGTAAAGTCACATCACTAGCACAGACACTACACAAGTCCTATTTTTACTTATTGCTAAAATTTTTTACTAAATCAATTATTGATAGCTAGTCAATTAATACCAATTATTAGTTATGAAATAAATTAATGAATAAATAAAACAAACCTCAAGTCTTGTAAGAGCACTTAGATCAGCGCTGTACTCGATGCTAACATCGGCATGACCAGCACCTCCAGTGCTTCGGTAGGTGTATTTTGAAGTTTTCGCAACAGCTGAAGACGACATTTTCAGCTAGTTTTATATTATTTTTCGTTCAAGCTCTTGTGGTTCTGCTCAGAGGTTCTTTCCGGCCCCTGTCGGTGCTGCCAAATAATTAAAAATTATTAATTATCAATAATAAATCTTTGATAAACTGGTAAATAGATAAATTGGAAAATCGGTAGGATAAGTTGAAAAAAAAAAAATAAAATTTTAAATTTCTAATAAAAATTGAATGATATAACACAAAATGAAAATTAATAATGATAAATAGACACCGTAAGAGGGTGGATGATTAAAAGTCGTGTGAATATTTCTTCGTGGTAACTGCCAACAAGTCGTATCTTCCACTGGGTTTCGGAGTCGACCAGCGCCCTACTCGTTGTGCGCTAACGCCGTCGTTCGTATGATGCGCGGCTACTTGATGACCCCGTCATAATGATCTAACGCGCATGCGTGTTTCATCATTTATGATCAGGGCAAAGATGAAAATGAAAATGAAGATGATAGTTATGATTATATTAATATTTCTATTACTGTTATTATATATATTTTGAGTATGTGTATAAGTATGATAATATATAAGCACCCTCGCAACCATCTCGGAAGTAAAACGCATCTTGTTATCTCATTTATTTTATTACTAATCTTCTTATTTTATCTTTTGGATTTTGTTTTTGTTTTTGAGGTTTCGCGGGTACTCTTAGACGGTTTAAATCCGAGAGAATTTACATCATTAGTAATAGTAACTCGCATATTCTTGGTGATGCGTTTTAGTGTTGATCACATTTCCAAAAACACCACGACAACTCATCGCACGAGGACCATGCCAAAAGCTTGTCGGGGGTGGAAATTCTAAATTACTTTCTCTCATATTTGCAAGTCCCTTTTCTTCTTCGTCTTCGTCTTCTTCTTCTTTTTATTTTTTTTTTTCGCAGTGAAATTATATGTATGGAGGTTTAAGTCTTTCTCGTCAGGCTTCTTTGGCATTCACCACGCTTGTCGTACTTTAGATTACATTTTTCAGGTTTAATTATGACGAATATATTTTATCGTATTTTTAGATCTTTATATATTTTTTGAGTATTTACATAAATTTTTAGTATTATTTTTTGAGAAAATCAATTTATTTTTGGTGAAAAATTTGAAGAAAAAAAATGTCCTTGAATCAAGTATATAATTTTGAAGAACTTCATCTTTTTGATTTGAGTAAAAAAATTCTTAAACTTGGAAATTTTTACTTGCACTGAGAAAAAAAATACTTTTACTCAATTAACAATTTCTAGGTTCAAGAAACTTGCTGACGATCAAATATTCTATTATTAATTATTAATTTCTGAACAGAAGAACATCAATATATATCTTTGGATAATAGATAAATAAAAGAATAGCTTTATTTAAATTGAGTAAAAATTATTTCAATCAATTTAACAATTTCTTGAGCTAAGAATAAATATTCTTGAAAATTTTCAAGAACATAAATTCTTGTATCAAGAAAATTTTCTTAATAAAAGTATTTTTTTTCTCAGTGTGGTTTAAATAAATTTCACTTGATTCAAGACAATTACCCTCTTAAAAATTATTTTCTTGGTTCAAAAATTTTCCCCTCGAATCAAGTTAATTTTTTTTTTCAGTGTGTTTTTTAAATGATTGAACAAAAAGTTGAGCTAACAAATCTTATTTCAAGTATTTCAATGATGAAATTGTAAGAAAAATTTAAAAAATTAAGAGGTCAATCTAAAACTCTTCTAACACATTTTTAGTTTCCAAATTTATGTAACAAAATTTTTCTATTAATAATTTTTTCATTATGCAATCCGCGTTTAAATAAGTTGAGAAAGTAAAATTAAATTTTAATGACAATGAAATATTTACAGGTCAAAAAAAACAATATTTTTAAAAATTATTTAGCAAAAAATTATAGTTTAAATTTTTCCCTAAAATATTAAACAATTTTAAATTACAGAAAAATTTTCCAACCAAAAATTGTCAAATATTTTATTTTAGAAAAAAAAAATTTTTTTATGATAAATTCTTTAAAGAAGAAAATATTAATATTAATAAATAATCTAAAAAAAAAAGTTTTCCCAGATCTGTTAAGAATGGTATCCTGCCCCACTACCTCCGAGTGTCTATAAAAGGTTGCCATGCAATGGTGGGCAAAGATTAACGTCGGCCTAGCTAAAGCTCACAGCGTAATTTGAGATTATCTCGCTCCTACTTCTTCCTCTTCCTCAGTCCTCACTTACTTCTACTTCTACTTCTACATCTCCATCTAAATCTACAACTACTCTCCATCATCATCGTCATCATCATCTCCATCTTCATCTTTTGATGTTCGCGTGTTTGGGATGAAGATCCTCTTCTTCAGATCACCTCCGCCTCAGAATAAGCCCGACGACTGAACTATACTGATCAGCGCTGTTGAACCCCTTTTAACAAAACTTGTCCCAAGCATCCAAGCACAGTAGCTCGCTCTGTCGTTGGATCGCCAATTGCTGAACATTTTGCCAACTTAACCGCGACCGAGAATAGAACAGACCCCCCAACATCCTATGAAACTCATGTATCTCAACGAGTTTTGCTAAAAGCTTTGTGCTTGCACCATTGCCACCAACACTATCATCATCATTGTCTTTGTGCTACTTTGTCTTCATCACAACTTCTTGCATTGACTTTCACCGCTTCTACTTCCACTTTCATTACCTTTTTTTTTTTATTTTTTTATAATTAAACTTGTTATTTTGCATACCTTTAGCGCAATTTCACGATGCAATAAATCTCAAAACAGTAAAAAAAAAAAAATTAAGTACCTTCTAAATCACAATAAAATAAAAAATAATGTTTTGAAATTTTTAAACAATATTTTAATATTTTATATTATTAATAATATTGTTAAAAATAATATTTTATACATTTAATATTTTTTCTAATATTGAATTTTAAAAATTAAATATTGAACATTAAATTTTTAAATTATAAAAATTTTTTTAAAATTTCCTTTTTTATTATCTAATTTTTTTTTTAATTTAATACTTCAAAAAATAACATTAATATATTAGTTTTTTTTTGTGATAAAATTTCTATAATTTTTCACTCATTCTTTATTTGCAGTTTGGTAATTTGTAAATTTTCTCATGATAAATAATCGGTAAAAATTTAATTTTTAAATATTTATACTATTTATATACTAGAATATTGATTAAAAAAATTTTCAACATTGAATTTTTATTTTTTTTAATTCAATTTTTAATAAAAAAATTTTTGATTTTTTTAAATCGATTATTTTAATGATAAAATAAGCGTGTAAAGTACACATTTTGATGAACCAAATTTTCTCCAATTCTTTATTTCTCCTTGACACATCTCAACTTCCCCATTACATGACTATTCCTCACTCCGACAAACTGACTCATTGTCAAGTTAAAATTGTACAGTTCGAAAGACTAAATAAACAATGACAATGATAATAAAATAAAAATTAATAAACTTGTCAAGGTAAACTCATAACAATGCGTAACTGTAAATATTTAATGGTACTAAATAGCAAAACTGAAAGTTCTATAAATTAACAAAATAGAACCGGGTGACTGGTAACATAGAAACTAAGAACCCTATAGGTGTAAGGATAAGGATAAGGAGAGGCAGGAGTTAACTTAAAGTTTGTCGGGCAGATAAGACAGCTCTGAGGAATTGTTTATCATAATAAATGGAATAAAGTTTTGGTATTATTTAAATTATGCAGTTTAAATTGGGCAAAAGTTTAAGTTAAAGATGAAGAAATTAACTCGGTGTTCCTTCATCTGGATCTGGCTTCTCTTTCTCTGATGTTTAAACTTGTTCTTGTTCCTTTTATTCGTGTTAACTTTAAGGCACGCTGCCCCAATTCTCTAAATATATCGCACCATCCAAGTTAACTTCTGCCACTGGTATACAGTATACAGTATACACAGTACACAGTACATAGTACGTAGTATACAGTACACACCAGTGGACTTTTCATCCCAAGGTACTCTAACTAAGATCTCCACTCACGGTCGAGTGTTTATAAACAGCTTAATCAAATTAATTCAACTACGTTGTATTTTTATTTATCTGACATTGTTTTTTTAGGTTTTATTCTTTTTATTTTTGCTACACAAAAAAAATTTACTTGAATTAAGTAAATTATTTAAAAAAAATTTATCTTTTATCGAGTAGAAAAATTCTTAAGCTAAAAAATTTTTCTTGGCTTAATTTTGCTTGATTCAAGAATTTTTCGTCTTGATTCAAGACAATAAAATTTTTCAAAATTATTTTCTTGGTTCAAGAATTTTTCTCTTGATTTAAATTAATTTTTTTTCTGTATAGTATTAACAAAAGCTTATTTATTTTAAGAAATGGTACAATTATTTGCCCGTGGGAATTTAACTCTATCGATGATTCCTTTTTATGAAGACAACTCTTAAGTTTGATGTATTTGTAAGACTGTCATAAAAAAAATTTTTTTTATTTGTGAGATCAATAATTAAAAATAAAAAATATAAATTTCAAAAATGAAACTCGTAACTTGAATCATAGTTGTATTAATAGCCGGTTATAAATATCTGGCTATAAAAATATCGGCATGCAACAGTTGGTATAATATTCTGCGTTAGATCTTTTAACGAATTAACAACTGCATTTTATTTATATTTGTCTATCTGTATATCCAATACTTAGTATTTTGAGTAAAGGCAGGTTATTGATAACTTTATGATTAATAATTATGTTATTTATTACACGAGTATTATTGTTACCGTCATAGTTGTTATTATTGTCGAATCTTGGTGTTTATTATGCGGTAGTATGATAGAAGAATCAAAATAGAAATACCAGCTTACTCGCATAATATATGATATGAGTATGAGTAAAGACATTATTATTATGTTCCAAGTAATATTATGTTCACGACACTTGGTTGTTTAAAACCATTTTAGATCGTGACTCAACTTTTGAGTATAAATATATAAAAAACAAAATGTGTTTTTATATTTTGTTATTTTAAT